TTAACATTGTCCCAATTAAAAGTATGATGTTCATTTATTATGTGTTCAGAAATTACTGAATGTTTCGTTGAGTCCAACCTAATATTATTTTTATGTTCTTTTATTCGCGTCTGCAATTGCCTCTTTGTTTGGCCTACATAAGATGCATTACAATTATTGCAACTGATCTTATAAACCACATTCGAATTGCATGGATGTTTAGTTTTATCTTTCTGCGCTTTAATAATATTATCCAGTTTGTTGAGACATCTATACCCTACCATACAATTTTTATTTTTTACCGAGGAAACAATCATTTCTGAGATCCCATCTATATACGGAATGACAAAGAATTTTTATTGACCGAGTCATTTCTTATACTTTTTGTTCTTTCTATGTTGGCCTGTCTCTCTATAATGCTCCCCTTAGATATGATGTGTTCTATCCGATGATTAATTTTGTTAAAAATCAGATCAAGAGGGTAACCATTGCTTCTGAGTATATTAATAATTAACTCCAAATTTTTATTAAAAAATAGTGGATGTGATAGCAATAGACATCTGTCTACAAGGTTATATATTATTCCTATTTTGTGGCATAATGGGTGGTTTGAATAAAATGATAACGTCCTTCCTGAGAAGGTTTCTTTTTGATACCAGTCTATATATATTTTGTTATTAATAATTTTAAGTGATAAATCTAAGAAATTCAAGCTATGGTTAACCTCTTGTTCGACCGTGAATTTAAGTCTTTCATGATAGTTGTTAAAATTATTCACAATCTGAGTCATATTAGTCATAGAGGTGGCCACTATTATGTCATCCACATAACGAAAATAAAACAAACATTCCAAATTCAACGCTTTGAGAACTGTATCCTCAAGATCTTGCATAACCAGGTCTGCAATAATTGGTGATAACGGTGACCCCATAGGGGTCCCAAACGTCTGTTTATAAATTATGTCATCAAATGTAAAATATGTAGAAGTCAATATGAATTTTATACCCCCCAAAAATTCGTTTTTCGGTATTTTAGTATTTATTCCAATGTGATCCCATCTATCGTTAATACCGTCAATCGCAAGATCCAGAGGAACGTTCGTAAACAAAGACACCACATCCAAGGAAAACATCCTATCATTCTCATCAATCTTTTTACCAGACAATATGCTGTACAAATCAAAACTATTATTAATATGACTTTTCGCTTTGGGTAGGCTAGTTCGTAAGGTGTTTTGTAAAAACGAAGCCAGCGAGTATAGAGCTGTATCAACCGATGAAACTATGATTCTAACTGGATAGTTTTCCTTATGGATTTTAGGTAATCCATACGCTTTTGGAAGGAGAGAATCACTACAACGTAATTTATAATATTCGTTTTTGAAATATAATCTTCCTTAAGCCATCTCTTCAACAAATCATTCAAATCGTTCTCTATTTTTTTGCACGGATTTTTTTTAACAATAGTGTAAGTGTTGACATCTTTTAAAACGTTTTCCATTTTGTTAATATAATGAGATCTTTCCATTGCCACCGTAGCATTACCCTTGTCCGCGCGTGTGAATAGAACATTCGGATTGTCTTTACAAAATTTTATTAAATCTCTGTGTGCACCAAGTAATTTTTGTTGACTTACGTCATTTTTATCCTTCGTGTTCAGAAGTTGTGCAAATTTTGGAACCGCGATATTTCTGATCGTTGTGAGATTATTAATATTATTTCGTTTGCTATTACTCTCTATGTCCTTGATGAATTCATGTATCGCTGTTTTTTTACTAATATTCGGAAGACAGAATTTATCACCCATTTGCAACAGATTAGAAACGTTAGGCGGAATGTCTGTGTTGGAAAGATTAACAAACCATTTTTTATTAGTATTTTCCAAAGGGTTAATTGTATCATTGAGAAATTTATTGGCTTCTATGTGTATATTGATCTCCTTGGCATCATTAGTGATTGCCCTGAGAGAATTTTGTGATATTTTCGTCGGTTGTGAAGTTTCAAAATGTAAAGAACAATGTATATCTATAGGTTTGATGCTGTTGATATACTTATAGTGTTGTTTTCTCTTAAGCCAATTGAATTTCTTTTCGTGTGCAGTAACCAATCTGTTGTGGCAATTTTTAAAAGCAATGTTATGATGTTCGAAAATTCTATTCCACGCGAGTACAGGTAAACGATTAAATAACCCGCTGGTGAGATGAAAAATCCTATTTTGTAATGACTCTACCTGTCTATGCAAATCAAAGATTTCAATGCTCATCGCATTTGTTTTGAATTTGTACAACATACTATCTAGTCTTCTGATCGATCTGTGATGAAAAACGTTAAATTTAATGCGGCAAAACCTTCTAAATGTGTAGGAAAAATATCGCCATTTTTACAATTTCTTAAAAATTCCAATTTTGCTCTCGCTCTTATTAACAAGTAATTCGCATTAATCCATTGTTTAAAATAATCTGCGGTTATTCTTCCAAAAACTCTATGAATAAAATTAAAATTAAAAAAGTGATCGGTCCGTTTTTTATTAATCGCAGCGCCTACGGAACGGGTAATTTCTCGCTATTAACGATGAAACTATCCGAGATCTGAACAAAATCAGGGATCATATCGAGGCGAACATTGTTACAGGACGGATTGAAACACGCGTTTCATTGTCAAAAAACTCTTGATTCTGAATAACTATAATTAAATTTCGATTTATGTTATTGTAAGAATTTATATTTCAATAATTTACTGAAGAATACCGCGTGCGGTCGAAACGTTTATAGAATGATTGTAATTTGCGTCAGTTTTAATCTAATGACGAAATTTTTATAATTTAACATTAATAAATGGTATTGACTGAACATCTCGAATATTCAGCTCGATAAGTTGGCCTTATATTATCACTTTGTTATCATACTTAGTTTACAAATAATTACATAATATACATTTTATAAGATAAATATTTTAACGACCAATACTGGCTAATAAATATTGGTCGTTAAAATTATCTATCCTATTAATTGACTGGCAACATCAAGAATTTGATTATTTATAAATTTTTATATTTTAGATAATTAAATGAGTTATGAATGTTGATAAAAATTAATAATGATTAATTTTAAAGATATAATTTTTCACTTTTCTATTTTCAATAAAGTGAGGACATAAAAAAACTATGTTTCATTTATTGTAAAGTTGTTGGATTCAGTTATTTATACACATGCATAAATTGTGAATTATATTAGAAATTATAAGCGCGCGCTTGTATTATATATAATATATATATATATATATATATGTAATGTCGATAATTTTGACGTCAATTAGACATCGATTTGATGAGTTTTTTTCTCGCTGGGTTGAAGTTCATCTAGCAAATAGATCGGTGCTACCGGTGCACCGGTTTGTACGGAGACCGAGTTACATATCGATGCATCGATGCATGCATAATATACTTTTAATATGTATTATATATTACTAATATTAATTTCATGTTATCTATAATTATTCGATTTTAATATTAATTTTTTTTTATTATTGAACATACACATTTTAATCAACAAAGGCAATAAGAGCTAATTAAATTCTATCAATTAGTAATTTATTTGTGTATAAAGATGTATAACATAAATATTAAATTATACACATTTTAAATTCTTTTCAAAGTTCAGGAACGTGTTATTTTGGTTTGTTGATCATTTGGCTTATTTATTCGACTTTTAATTCTCTCTAAACATTTTTGACTTTGTTGATTGTTTAAAATCGCGGTTTATCTTATTCTGTCTGTCAAAGTGAGCACTTCGTTCCATATTAATACAGATTGACACCATGAGCGCTTAGTTTTTCATTTTACATTAAATAAGAGGTATTATTAATTTCAATATTATTTTTATAAACTAGACATATTATGTTATTATCATTGTTAAAATTGTTTTTAACTTTTTTGTAATTTAATTAATGTTTATAGCCTGAAGAGGATCTAATTTAGGGTCGAAACGTCGTTTCTCTCTCAATAAAGATTCTTACACCTAGCCAATGTCGGTCAATAAAACTTGCGTTTCCTTCGTTTTTAAAATTGAACTGGCAATCACATCTCACTTTTTGTAACTTCTTTAATTGCTTTTTTACAACCTTTGGGTTTTTGAGCTGTATAACTTAAAACGACATCACGAGACATAAAATTTTTAAAAATTGTAGTTATGGCTTTTATTACAGGTTTAGAAGAATCTATTGAATTCCACATAAAATTTATCTGTAATAAATACACGTCATTAGAGTTAAATTATTTTTCTATATTGCATTAAAATTACAATATTTACTATATAAACAATATATTGACAATATTTTTATTTATTGTAAAATTATTGTAAAGTTGTTAGAAGTTACATATTTTTCTCGCATACATCACTTCAGGGGAGAGGGGGGAAAGAAAAAACTTAAGAATTAATATCTCAAGTAAGAGATTTATTCTAAATAAGTCTTAGCAGTTGCTAAGCCAAATTTCGTACCTCGTGCACAATTATAAAGGCAAGGAAATAGTATATTGTGTATCAAGTGCGGAAAGTTGACAATTGGTCACGAGTGCGGGGGATGGACGCACGAGCCGAAGGCGAATGCGACCACCCCACACGAGTGAACAATTGTCAATCCGCACTTGATACACATACTATTTTGTATTGCAAGTGCAGGCAATGTGGCACTTTCGGTACATGTTTCTGTGCCGAAAGCGGTCGATTTCCTTCGCCGCCATCTAGCGCATCCCCCGCACTCGTGACCAATTGTCAATTTTCCGCATTTGATACACAATATACTATTATCTGTTATTTATTTATTATGTTATTATTTATTTAATATTTAGTTAATATTTATTTATTTATTTCGAACAAAATAGTGTTAATAGCACTGTTTAATACTAGTGTTTAATACTAGTTAAAATTTACAAAATGTAATATATTTTCCTATCTCATTTTTATAGAATTTGCATTAAATATTTATTTCTTTTTCTTCAATTAATTGTTTAAATGTTATTGTGTAGACATGAGAGACATCAACAAGTGGTCGGAAGAAAATAAAACATCTATAATACAATATTACGGCGAGGATTACTTTAGAAAAACTGTTTCGGATTTGGTAGACGTTATGCTAAGATTGAACGAAAAGCAAAATGGTGATCTGTGCAAACAGGTTTTATCGAAAATAAAATGTCCAACGTTGATTATTCATGGAGGTAAAGATGTGATGGTTTTACCGGAACATGTGACATATCTGAAGCAAAATATTGCCAATTCAAGGTTTGTACTTTTATAATTTTGAAACAATTAAAGATTGATCTGATGAAATTTTTTATTACAATTGACATATAATTTATTTTGTATTACAGAATGCATATTATGGAGAAAGGCGGATATAATCCTCATTTGAAATATTTTAAAGAATTCAATTATTTGGTGACAAATTTTCATCCTTAATTAAAAATAAAAGAAATTTATTGTGATAATTTGTATTAACATATATATATATATATATATATATATATATATATATATATATATATATATATATATATGTATATATGTGTGTATATATATATGTAACATATATATATATATATATATTATATATTTACAATTATGTAATAAATAAATTCAAAATATGGCAAATGCCTAAATATCTTATTTTTATTATTTTTTCATTTTTATTCTTATTATTTAGGTTACTCAATTATACGAAACTTGCGCATTACTTCCCAATATGGGACCCACCTGGTTATGGAAAATCGCAACCACCCGATAATAGAACATTTCCGGACAACTTCCTTCAACGGGACGTCAAATTGGCTCATAATCTAAGATCTTGGGCTACACAAAGTTTTCTCTGATCGGCTGGAGCTGTGGTATTGTACTTGCTTCAATGTATCCTGAGAGTATTCGTAAGATAGTGGTCCTTGCTGCAAATACATACATGCTTTCAAACGAGGCAAAAAAATATGAAAGTACGAGTATTTTATTTCATTTTAAAGAAAATATTTTCTTATGTTTTACTTTCTTTAGTAATAATATAATTTATAATAATAATAAATTGATACAAAGTTTCGCTCGTATATTGTAAATACAACTAGTGATAGATAAAAAGGCCAACTTATCGAGCAATTATTAGAGTTGTTCTGTCAAATAAAATTTATTCCATGTATAAACTAAACATAAAACATTATGTGAAAGCTACAAACATTCTATACTCAAACTTAAGCGAAAATTACAATCATTATAAAATAAACGTTTCAACCGCACGCGGTCTTCGTCTTCCTCAGTATTATATTACAGTAATTATTAAAAAATACAAAATCATACAAAAATTCCACATAATATCGAAAATTAATGTTAGTTCTTCAATAAGAGTCGAGAATTTATAAGCAATTAAAGCGTGTTTCAATCCGTCATATCCAACAAATGTTCGCCTCGATATGATCTTTGATTTTAATCAAATCTCGAAAAGTTTCATTGTTAATATGCGAGAAAATAATACGTTCCGTAGGCGCTGCGATTAATAAAAAATTGACCGTATGTCAAAAATTAAAATATATATCCTTAACAATTAGCAATATGCTTACTTGACAATTTTAACCACGTTTTTTTGAAAAAGTTATTGAAGATGACACAAGACAAGACCAACAATATAAAAGACACCTCATTTCAAACTCTACTTAATCGAAGAATGTGCGTGTTTATATATGATCTAATACCTATGTTTAAACCGTTAAAGTCCTATTTGTCTTATTATTATTTATTGTTTGCTAATTTATCCAAAATATCAAAATAAGACTCGCTGAGTAATTCAGTATCTTTGTTTAAATTTAGCCCATTTTTTGTTCTTTAATATGTAGCATCTCCGAGATGAGGCTTTTATAATAATTATTTTCGTTGTCCAGAATCTTTACGTTATCCCAATTAAATGTATGGTGTTCATTTCTTATATGTTCAGAAATTACTGAATATTTCGTTGAGTGCAACCTGATATTATTTTTATGTTCTTTTAGCCTCGTCTGTAATTGTCTCCTCGTTTGGCCTACATAAGATGCATTACAATTATTGCAATTGATCTTATAAACAACATTCGAATTGCATGGATGTTTAGTTTTATCTTTCTGTGCTTTAATAATGTTATCAAGTTTGTTGAGACATCTGTATCCTACTATACACTCTGTATTTTTTACCGAGGAGACAATCATTTCTGAGAACCTATTGGCTTCTATTGGCTGAGATATATTGGCTTCTATTCAATAAATTTCTTGATAATATGATTCATCCTTTGGAAAATACCAATGAAAAATGGTTTATCAATCTGTCCAATATAGATATTCCTTCTAACGTTTCTAATCTTTTGCAAATAGGTGATAACTTCTGCCTCCCAAACATCAATAAAAAATAGCTATACATGAATTTATTAAAGACATAGAGAGTAATCATAAACGGAATAATATTAATAATCTCACAACTATTAGAAATATTGCTGTTCCGAAATTTGCACAACTTCTCAACACTAATGATAAAAATGACTTAATTCAACAAAAACTACTTTGTTCATACAGAGATTCAAAACAAAATTTTATTGAATGTTATTTTAAGAAACGTTGTTTAACTAATTAAAATTTACAAAATATAAGATATTTTTTCATCGAAAATGCATTAAATATTTTGTTTCTCTTTTTTATTCGAATAATTATTTTTTAAATATTACTATGTGCAGGCATGAGAAACATCAAGTGGTCGGAGGAAAGTAGAATATCTATTATACAATATTATGGCGAGGATTACTTTAGAAAAACTGTTTCGGATTTGACAGACGCTATGCTAAAGTTTTACGAAAAGCAGAGTGATGACTTGTGCTTTATCGAAAATAAAATGTCTGATCTTGATTATTTATGGAAAATCAAGACATGCTAATTTCACCGAAACATGCGACGTACTTAAAGCAAAATATCGCAAATTCAGAATTTGTACCTTTATAATTCTGAAACAATGAAAAATAATATACAAAATTTGTTTATGATTTACATACCTATAATTTTATTTTATAAATTACAGAATATATATTTTCCAAAAGAGTGTACGCATATAATTTTCACTTCACATAATCTTCACTTGACTGATTTTAAAAGGTTCAATTATTTGGTGACGGATTTCATCCTTTGATCAGTTAAATTTGGTGTAGTAATTTGTATTTACAATGTATATTGACAATTATACATAGTGTATTTAAAATTATATGTTGTATTTATAATTATATATTTATATATTTTATATATAGTGACAAATTTCTGTAATTACATTCTTTGCAAGATAGAGCAGTTTATAGATATATATATATATATATATATATATATATATATTATTATATGCGTATAATATATATAATACTTTGTAATATCTATATATACACTGATCAAAAAAATTATCGCAACACGCAATTAATATCAAAATTTCGCATAAATTCAAATAAGCGTATCTCCGCGAAAAATTATCGTATTTAAAGAATTTTTTTTGAAATAATTAAGTTAACGCTCTGTGTAATAAAAATAAAAATAATCAATTAATTAGAGGCCGATAAAGAGCAATCGATGTAAATGTTATATAATATTATTTGTGTTTATTATCTTTAACAATAAATTGTAATAAATTGTAAACGATATGGATCATACATTTTTTTCATACATTAAAAGAGGAAAATGTCGAACTTGCGATCTTAAACCACGTTCACGTAAACGTCTTCTAATTGTGTGATCACTGATTCTGTGAGAGAGATCTTCATTAGCAATTTGTCGTACAATCATCGTTGGTGCGCGTCTGGTATCGCTAATGCTGATGTTAATTGTACAAAAATGCATAGATAACTTTAATATGCCGTAACTCTGTCATAAAAAAATTGTACGAACTTTGTTTTTTATTTAATTTGTAAAAAAAAGTTTATATTTTACGAAAATTTAGATAAGATTTGCGAAAAAAATTTATTTCACTCCGTAGAGTTCGTCAAATTTTGCAATGTTTTGAAAAAAAAACACACCTTACTTTTTAAAGAGGTGGAGAGAGGGGGAGAGGATGAAATCAAAATCGAACAAAAGTTTCTTAAAGTACAGACTTCAAAACAAAAATGTTTGACTTCCTTTAAAACAAAAAATTTTTCAAATACGATAATTTTTCACGAAGATACGCTTATTTGAATTTACGCAAAATTTTGATATTAATTGCGTGTTGCGATAATTTTTTTACTAGTGTATATATATATATATATATATATATATATAATTTTCGTCCGTCTGTCTGTCTGTCTGACCGCGAATTACTTTCACATTTATGAACCAAAATTTTGCAAATTTTTTGGAATCTATATATTTATCAATAATTTCCATCTATTTTTTTATCTAATTGATAAAAGTTTTACAAATGAGTTTTAGATTTTACATCTTTTTTGAAAGAGGCAAGTAATTTTTTAAAAATCAGTTACCCCTCTCCGTACATATATACAGGGTGAGTCATTTTAATCAATTCACGTAAATATTTCGTATAGTAAGCAAGATGGAAAAAAATTTTCCAAACAAAAGTTGTTTGATTATGACGAGGACATTAAATGGTGTCATTGACCTCGTGAGTCATTTGAAAGTCACGTAAAGGTCACCTTTAATTTCTTAAATTGAACCTGCGCTATTTTTCATTACATACTCTTGTAGCTTATTTCAAGAGCTTTTCTTGTTTTATTTAAAACCTTATAATAAAGTGTTTTTTATGAAGTATACTTTTCAAGTTATAAAGATAAAAGTTTGAAGTTTACAATATTTTGACATAAAATGTAAAATATCTTGTAAAATATTCAGTTTTTGGTAATCATACCTTAATACTTCTATGCACGGAATAATGAGACCAATCAATTGGTGTAAAGAAAACACATAGATTAAAAAAAAAAATATGTTGCAAATTACATACATCTTTTTAAGGCAACTATGTGTTTTCTCTTGTTTAAAACATTTTTTTTCGTCTTGCTTATTATACGAGATATTTATTAAAATGTGTATTGATTAAAATGACTTACCCTGTATATTAACCGAACATAATCGAGCGTAACCGAATTCAATTTAAACTTATATAGTACCCCTTCATCGCAAATATCACTCCCTCCCTTTGACACAATCGGTAGCTATAAATGCTTTGTCTATATATTCAGATGCCAATCGAAATGATTGAGTATAATTTGGTGAGTCAAGATTCGCGTGAATGCGATTCAAGTAAAAATATCTGCAAGAGAAAAAGTTATCATGTTCGGAACGTTAAAAATATTATGTATTTTATTAAAAGTGTTAATGCTAACGAGTACGGCCCTCGCGGTATCTTTAGAGAATGAAGATATTTATACAGTACCGTAGGTCAGTCTTCAAAAAGAATATTTTCATTTAAACTTGGTGTAAATAAGAAAACGTTTTCGTAGATAAGAGATGAAAAAAATATATTTTATGTTATTGTAACTAATGAGAAATTATTTGTGTAATTTAAACTGTTCAATAAACGTAACACAAGAATTTTGATATTACAAAAAATATACAAGTTTAATTTTGCGTTAAAAACAAACACATTAAAAATATAATATTATATAGCACAAAATTATGCTTACATAATTAAAACGATATATGTATATTAAATCTCAAACGTAGCATGTGTTGATATAATTGTTCTATTTAAGAATAAAATTTTTAAGAATAATGATTCCGTTTATTCTCTACATTATTAATATATTTTTTATTATTGTATAAAACTTACAATAAATTATCCGCGATTTTTATTTAATAAAACTAAATAAAAAGAATTGAGTTTAAATAAGTTGCATGAGTAATAAAAATCATTAAATCTCGTGTAGATCTGTTTAATGCATTTCAGTATTATATTAATTTCTCTCGATCAAATATTTTAAAGTCAATATTATATAGCCGTAATTATATCTACAGCTAAACAGCTATCACTACGTGCATTAATATTATTCATTGTATCAATGTATATGTATAATAATGTATATAACAAACGTGTACATACATATATTAACATATACGTATATACATATTTTAAGCAAAATACAAGTCGTAAACGTTTATGGCATTAAATATATTATGCTCTTCAAATGTCACTTGCGCTAGAATATAATAATAAAAATTAAATTTATAGAAAAATAAAAGATAATTTATTAGACAATAGAAATATAAAAGAAATTTAATAAGATTTTTTAATACAGGAATGTCAAACATTTCTATGATCAAAACAATTACAATGAAATTAACTTTAGTGTTGAAATATAAACTTTAACACTATCAATGAGATAAAAATCGCTTTCGTGAAAATAGAAAGCGAATTAAAGTAAAGTTTTACTTAAAGAAATTATTGTTATTAAATAAACTAAAAATAACGCAAAAACTGAATTATTAGACACAGCTGTTTTAACAATCGAAGAGAATTAGACTTTCTATTACTATAAGATTTAATTAATATAAGAGACAGTTATATAATTTCTTATTGGTTTTTCTTGTTCATTCAACAGAATATACCATCTTTCAAGTTCTACACAATTAATAATTACCTGTTACGAGTCCAGAAGTTATATATGCAGGAATATTTTAACAACGTGACTGAAAAAAATGTAGTTGGTAAGAATAATTCATTTGTAGACATGTTTATATTCTCAAAATTTCTTAATTAGTTGCAAAAAATTGTAATTGCAAAGTCAAAATTAAAAAATTAAATTTGAAGAATTATCTCTTAACATGAAAATATATAAATAAATATATATTCTATTCAAAAAAATAAACAAAAAGAGGAATAAATGCAAACACTCTGTTCACGAAATATTTTAAAATAAAATCAATTCATTCTTTTGCTAGCAATGTTGTTTCTAACTAGTTGGAAATCTCATATTTTTATTTTTTAATCAATAGAAAAGTTCGGGAAATACTAAACGCTTAGTAATTATTAAACGATTTCTCTTCAATGTGAGACATTTGATATAATATATTGTGTATTATTTGAATTTTAACTTGCTAGCAACCAGTAAGATCAAGAGACGCATGCTACGTCAGTTTCAAGGGAGAAATCATTTTCGTTGAAATTGGTTAGTTGTGCACAAAACACAAATTTTTCTTCGTACAATATGTCAAGAAATGAAATAAATCTCAATTCTTTCTTGTCAATTGGACACTCTAACATTTACGACCTGGGTCTTATTATTCCGTTAAAATTCTAATTTGCTCTTTTGAAAGCCTTACTAAAGTCTTTGAAATATTTGTTTTCGTTAAAAATCATTGAATGATCATTGACAATTACTGTCTCTTCTATTATAAAATATTCATTTTTTGTCAGGACTACTATAATTATGTTATTGCTTTTAAGTCTCAAAAACGTACATAGATTATGATGTTATTATTATTATTTGGTTATTTTAAAAGTCAATTTGCTACATTAATTTGCAGTTTGTAGTTTATATATATATATATATTTTTTTTACTTAGAAGTATCTGTCATCGTACTTTATGTACAATATCATATAGGATAAATGTGCCAATTATTGTACTCTTAGTTTTTCTCACATAGTAAAATAAAGCATAATGAAATTAACATTTATTTTTTTATAAAATTGAGTTTTTGATATACATATAGAAAAATTAAATATATAACATATTCTTTAAATATTGAAAATAATATTTAAGATTTTTGATACCTGATATAGCTTGTTTTCATATTAAGTTGTTAAAAGCTTAAAAAAACAACGAATATTATTTACATATATCAAGATAAATAGATTAATATACACCACCTATAAAAATGTATTCTATATTATTGAAACCCGTATAAATTATGAAGAAACAACATTTTAAGCAATTTTAAAAATATTCTTTTTAATTTAATGAATCCAAAACCATAATCTATGTACGTTTTTGAGACTTAAAAATTTTGTGTTTATTTGTATCACCGTATTTAATAACTGCACAAATTTTAGTCATTTTTGTTGATGTAGCAATTACTATGCCCCCTTATGCTACACGGTATATGGTATAATCGACATATTTAGGGCACAGTATATTCTGAACTTCCACACGGCACTTGGAATAGTAATTGAAAAAATACAGTAAATAAGACATAGTACATGAGTACAGTAAATGAGATCTATTTTTGTGATTTTTATCCAGTAACTTGGCTTGAATCATTTTTTTTTAATTATTTTCTTTTAATGATTTTTAAAGTTTTTAAAATATTTTATTTATAAAAAGGTTCCTTGTATTACAAAAAACATTGAATTATAATTTTAATTCTTTAAGACGTACGTAGAAAAAATTTAGGAATTCTTTTTAAATTTAAAAACATGGAGCTAAAAGGACACAGTAATTGGCATATTCATCCTACTATTTTTTGTGTCAACAATTAAAAAAATTGTTTTATTTTATCTTTTCTCAATTACCGAAATTGGAAGTCTAATATATAATTCTGTATACCAATATGTATATATTATTTTGAAATAATATTTCTAATATATTATTTCTAGAAAGGTTTATTTATTTTATATACTCCATTCTTATATGTAACAATATCTATATATATATAAGTACCGTCCGTCGCTGTCTGTCTGTCTGTCTGACCGCGAAATTGATACAAAAATGTTGCAAATTTTTCGGGAATAAATGTTATGTGGGGGGTTTTTTTTCATTTAAAAAAATTTTTTTTTGTAGAGAAGAGTATGTTTTTGCAAAAAATTTTTTTCATTAAAAAAATTTTTTTTCCTCATAGAGGGTGTTTTTGCAAAAAAAATTTTTTTTTTAAATTTTTACGCTAATGTGTTTAGAATGTTCAGAAACATCGTACTAACTTTGTACTACATGGTTTTTAAAAATTTTTTCTTCCTCATAGAGAAGGCTATATTATCGCGAAAAATTATTTTTTAGATTTCTATGTTAATGTGTTCAGAATGTTCAAAAACATCGTACTAGGTGGTTTTTTTATTGACATACCCACCCACGCACCTATTCACGCATTTACACATTTATCTATCAATTTTCTCGAAATTGGTATTTCGAGTATCTATATTTAAGTTTATGCAAAACGCGGAGCGAAATAAAATATTTAAAGCAAAAGAACTAATCTTTTATATTAAATCAAGTTTTATAAAGGCTATATGAGGACCGCGCGAAACGTGGTCCAAAAAGCTAGTTCTTATATTAAATTATGATTTTAAAGTTCTTCAGGAAGATAGCACATTGTCTCCAGAAAGAGGTCTAAGCAAATCAACATTTCCAATTCGGACATTCGTGGAATTCGATAACAATCTAATAAGAAAAAACGTTTCTGTGACATTCAGGTAAAGAATATAAAATAGCTTATATTTTTTCATTCTTTTAAATTTAATGACATACACTATATATATATACGTGAGCATTCTACGTGAAAATGATTTACTTAAAATGCGCATGATAGATATACATAAAAAGTATAAAAGATAAGAAAAGTAAAGCATAAAACGTATATATATATATATAGATATAGATATATATGTATATATATATATACAATGAAAAAATAATACAAGATAACCTAATCTATAACAATGTTCAAACTCGTATGTAAACAAACACAATGATAACTTACTAAATATTACGAGGTCATGTGAAACGAGCAATATAAAATTATTTTATAACTTGAAAAAATTTTAATTTATAAAAAGCAATTACAATACAAACTCTAATATTCTTAATTACAAACGTTTCGAACTATACTTAGTCTTTCTCACACAGTGCACAAAAAAAAATAATAAAAAATATTCTAATAAAAAGTCGCAATACAATAGTCAAAATAAATTAGATAATTATGTCAAAATTAAAAAGCGAAATACGTTAACAATAAATTGAAATAATTACAAATAGTTCAACGCAAAAAATCCCAATTAGAAGCAAAAATCGAATTAAAATGATTTATCCGGCTAATCAATAAATTTTTTAATTATTAAAATTTCGGAGTGGCACTTAAACATTCGTCCAAACCAATCACTCATCGTTAGTCGGCAAAAGGCTATCAGTTTGGCAATGATCGTGTCTATCTTCTCCAAGTTATTTAATATTTGTAATTATAAACTGAATTTAAAAAGAAATTTTATATTATAAAATAGAAATCCACTTATATATATGTAAAAATTAAAAATTAAAAATTAGTTACTTGTTACTTACAATTGTTCCGAATAAATTGAGATGACAATGCATCTAATTGTTGTTGAACTTACAATTAGTACTTGACTGAGGTCAAGTCAGTTAAAAAGTTGAATAAATGGGTGTCAAGTCGCAAAACATAAACATTTTAATAAGTCTAAAAATTCGCTATTTCTTCTAGAATGTCAAAATAAGCGTTGTTAAGTAATTCGGTGTCTGTATTATTATTTATGCCATGCTTTTGTTCTTTTATGTGTATCATCTCCGAGATAAGTCTTTTATGGTAGTTCGATTCAATGTCAAGTATTTTAACGTTATCCCAATCAAAAGCATGTTTTTCATTTAGAATATGTTCAGAGACCACCGAATGCTTGGAAGAATCAAATTTTATGTTATTTATATGCTCCTTTAGTCTAGTTCGTAATTTTCTTTTGGTTTGTCCAACATAATAAACTTATTCACAGTCTTTACAATTAATTTTATAGATGACATTATTATTATGATACACGTTTTTGTTCTTGTAAACTCTAATGAATTTATTAAAATTATTAAGACAACGGTAACCCACTCTAAAATCTGGTTTTTAATTGTCAATGCTACTGTTTCAAAAATGTTATTAATATAGGGGATGACAAAAAACTTATTATTTCCCTCTGCAATTTCTTTTGTTCTTTTATTGTTAAAATGAAAATTGTTTACTACTTTTATTCTCCTATTAATTTCCTTAAAAATTAAATGAATAGGGTAACCGTTATCTAATAATATTTCCATGCAATGTTCTTAACTTTTCTTATATGGGATGAGATAATAGTAATGCTCTATCAATGAGATTATAAATCACCCCTATTTTGTGGCACATGGGGTGATTCGATAAGAAAAATAGTACTCTACCTGAACAAGTCTTTTTTAAAACCAGTCCATGTGTATGACGTTATCAAATGATCTTAATGTTTAAATCTAAAAAATTTATGCTTCTCTCAATTTCATATTCAACCGTAAATTGTAGTCGTTGATGGTAACTATTGAATTTGTTCAATATACTATCTATTTTATTCTTTGGTGCCACCATAATAATGTCATCTACATATCTATGATACATTCCGATATCAGAATCCAATGTGTTAATTATCGATTCTTCTAGATCTTGCATAACAATATTAGCAATTATTGGCGATAACGAGGAACCCATAGGCGTGCCATAAACTTGCTTGTAAACAATGTCATTAAATGTGAAATATGTTGACGACAATATAAATTTTATCATAAAAATGAATTCATTTTTGGAATTAATGTATGTGTATTAATATCATTCCATCTATTGCTCACACTTTCAATTGCAAGATCTATCGGAATGTTAGTGAAAAGTGAAACTACGTCTAACGATATTAGAATATCTTCCGTACTAATTCTCTTACCCGATAGCATGCTATATAATTCAAAAGTGTTATTTACATTACTTTTAATCGTGAGAATACTTTATGATATAATTTTATGTAAAAATGTGGCAATCGAGTATAACGTGGTATTAATTGATGACACAATAATAATAAATGGAGTATTCTCTTCATGTGTTTTTGGGAGACTAACAATGAGTGATTGGTTTGGACGAATGTTTAAGTGTCACTCCGAGATTTTAATAATTAAAAAATTTATTGATTAGCCAGATAAATTATTTTAATTCGATTTTTGCTTCTAATTGGAACTTTTTGCGTTGAACTATTTGTAATTATTTCAATTTAATGTTAACGTATTTCGCCTTTTAATTTTGACCTAATTATCTAATTTATTTTGTCTATTGTATTGCGACTTTTTATTAAAATATTTTTTATTATTTTTTTATTGCGCACTGAGGAAGACTAAGTATAGTTCGAAACGTTTGTAATTAAGAATATTAGAATTTGTATTGTAATTGGTTTTTTTAAATTAAAATTTTTCCAAGTTTAAAATAATTTTTGATTGCTCGTTTCACATGACCTCGTAATATTTAGTAAGTTATCATTATATACTTAAGTTATATTTTTATCATAAATTCGCTAAAATTAAATTTTGCTAAAAATAAAAAGATTAAGATATCTTACTTTTTTATAGATCGGAAGAATTTAAATATCAATATATCATCATACTATATATGATTCAGTATTGGAGCGAAGATCTAAATCGGACAATTCAAATAAATATCACGAATGCTGGTATGACTTTTCCATTAGAATACAAAGTATACGATTTAAAAGCTGATACAACTTACTCTTTTAATATACAAATGATAAAAATTTCTCAAAATAGTTCTTTTGTTAATTTCAATGTGTCCACCATGGACGAGAATCCGATACCTCTATTACTCGTCATCCCGTTTTCATTTGGTGTGAATATATTGGATGTAGATTTACAGATAGGTATTGAACTTGATACACAAATTATGTATAGAGATATCGTTTACTCAGCATTGGAACATAAAATATATGGAATCAATGACCAGTCAGAGCTAATAACATCGGATTTTAATCCAACCGCAATTCAAACAAATCGAACAATAGCAAAGCTCAATGACACTGCACATCATCTCTGCTTTGATTGGATTCATAGGAAACTTTATTGGGTACAAGAATGCACAACGGGAATCTGCATTATAAAGCTAGACTTAACATTGTTGGAACAAATAGGCATAATAGAATATGATGAAATAAATATATCCAAGAAACGACATCTAGTACTGTTTTTACATGTACTGCCATCATCAGGGTATATTAAATTTTATACATGTAAAAATGTTATTAACTTTGAATTTTTAATTAAAACTTGAAGTTATTGTATAATTTTTCATCGCTTTAATAATTGTTTTTATCACAAGGTTTTTATAAAATCATAAACTCACAAAGAATTGTAGAAATTTCAATATAATCTTACATTATTTTTGATATAATAAATATGTTATTAGTAGTGAATAATATGCGTACTTTTCAGATATATGTATTGGTTACTGGCTGGCTCGTCAGAAGTAATGCGATCGGATTTAGATGGAAAAACATGAAAACTCTTAGAAAAGACAATAAATGCTTTCGTAACGAACTACATCTAGAGTCCTACTGGACCTTACAGACTGATACAACAAATATTGAGCCGTTATTATATTGGAGTCGTTACAGTAACTTTGTCATAACAGATATTGATGGTTGTAAATATTACAAGATTTCAAACTTTAGCCACAATTACATGCATTTAACGTTTGACAAAACAAACATTTACTTGTACAGTCGATACAATTATATGATTTACATTTATAAAAAAATATATCCTCTTTTCGAAAACAAAGAACATAAATTGGAATATGTACGTAGAATACGTTACCGAGAAAATGTTGCTTATCTCAATAAATTTATATCACTTGATAAAACTTTACAAACATATCCCCAGACAAAATGTTTGTTACCTAACATGACAAATTATCGTATTGAAGTGTTAAATAAAACCATACACAGTATCACCGTAAGCCTTCCAGATCCGATTCTCAATGACGGATGCAAAAGTACGACTTACCATCTACTATATATAACATCTCCAGGAGTTATTCAACATGTTTGGACAATGGCAGTAACAAGTTCGAGCAATTCAATGTCACTATATACAAACGACATTACGAATTCAAGAATTTAATGCCGTTCACAGAATATACGCTGAAGCTAGCACTGAGCAATTTTTACGTCCGCAAGTTATCAATGGACTTGCAATTCGGCTCGGATGTGAAAGTGATAACTACCGGAAAGCTCGACATGCCAGAAGATGTGACGGTTCAAGTTTTAACGCCAACGTTAGCGATAGTTTATTGGATGCCATCCAAGAAATTAAACTGCGTGACAGTGACCTACGAGGTGCATTGGATGCAATTTTCAAATAAAACGCAAGAAATAATACAAAAATCTTCCATCACAAAACTTATCGATACGCTCGAACGTACAACAGATGGAAAGCTTTTCACGACAATCGGGTCGCTGCTGTCAAAACATAATTATCAGATATATGTGCGTGTATATCCATACAATTTTAGTCAATTCTTCACTGACAGTTTAAACAAAACAATCTACATGTCAGAACCGAATAATTTAAGTTTAATCGGAGTCAGTACAAATAGTATGGATATCTCATGGATTTCTGGCGTCAATTTGACGATGCACACGAAATTCCGTCCCATACTGGAATACAAAGAAGATGCGATGTGGGAATGGCAAATGGTGAATATCAGTGAAAGAAATAATAATAAAATAATATATTATATAAAAAATTTATTGCCGCAAACTTTATACAATTTTCGTTTGATCCTGAAATATCCCGAATACATGGACGACTTTGTATAGCCTGAAAAAGGATTTAGATTTGGAAATCATGGTGAGTAAACCATACAATGATAATATGTATATGATATTACACGTATATGGGACGTTCCACGTCAAGTGGAACAGATGTCTGAGTAAAATTTGTGAAGTCGGAACAAGATGTCTTAAAATTTTTGTTATTTTATGTTGTTATTAGAAAAATACCTTTTAAAAAGTTTAAAGTACCCACTCCATTATAATGGCTAGAATACATGATAAACTTACTGAAAACATATAGTAATGAATAATTGAAAGAGAGTCAATTGCGCCGGAATATCTTCTTTCAATCTTAATTGTTATTATATGACACATGTTAAACATCAATTATTTCATTTTTTTTAACACATTTAAATAGTAATAAATTTACGATAAAAATAGAAAAAGAAATTAAAAATTTTCTGAAATTCTGACTATAGATTCTTTATAAGCAACTTGAAAAACCCCTAGATTCCGAGTTTCATTGAAATCGAATGCGTTTTGATCGATAATTATATGTTTCTAGTAAGTTTATCTGGTATTCCAGCCGTATCATATTGAAGTAAATACTTTGAATTTTTAAAAGGCCACGTTTTTTCGTAAACAACTTTAAATAACAAAAACTTTAAGCCCTCAAACGTCTTTTTCTGACTTCACAAATTTGGCCCAGACGCCTATCCCACTTGACGTGAAACGTCCCATATATACTTTAAGACTTTCTTAAAAATAAATTTTAATTAGAAATTATAAATAATAAAGTTCTAAGATAATATATTCTAGAATAAAACGAAGATATTTAAATTGTACTGTTGTATAACAAAGGTAATGTACCAAGTGCTTCTGGGAGACCCATTGTAACAAAACTTCCAAATTTGACGTATCAATTAAACTGGGAACATGCGCAAGCTCATGATTCACCAGTGATTTTGTATCGACTGGAGGGTTTAATTGTCGAAAATAATGACAAAGAAGTCAATCGAATCGACAAAATCAATCATTGGAATTTATACTATAATGGAACAAATAATTATTGCTGGATAACGACGAAAGAAATGAATGAGAAATATCTTTTTCGTGTGCAGGCTACAAATGCTTATGGTTCTGGGAAATGGAGCGGCGAATCAAGAGTCGTTGATTTAACATCAAATCTGAAATTAAATAAGAACGAAATATTAACTGTGCAATACGTAACGTTAATATTAAGCATTATCGCTACCATCGTAATCTATAATGTTTACTACTTTTACTGCTGTGTGTTCATTTTTTTTACAGATTTAAAATAATTACAATTAAATACTATAATTAAAAATTATTTTAAACATGATATCCCAGTAAGCAAGAAATCATTGTTACAAGGTTATTATAATGATTTTTACTGACATAATAATGTTGTCAAGTATGTAGTTTTGAACATTGAACATTATTATGAACGAACTTTGATATCGATTTAAAGATTTCGGTAATGTTAAAATAACATTTCTTTAAATCTAAAAATTGAAAGTATATTTTAACCTTCTATTTATTACAGTTTATTTTTGTCAAACAATTTGAGTATTTTTATTAAAAATTCATACAAAATACAAGAAGATAATCTAACCTATTAATTAATTCTTCAAATCTAATTAATTCTTCAATTTAATTAAAAATTCGACAAATATCTTTTGAACTTACAAGATATATTATAACATTAATATTAATGTTAATAATACACACTGGAAGAAATCTTACTTTTTATTCTTTTGTTCAGAGCATTTCATTTGCAATAACTTACTGAAAGATTATATGAGTTCACATTGCATATTGGCACAAGTATATCTAAATCGATGAACGATTAAACGTGTTAATAACATATAAGGAACAATTTGACTTATGTTATTAAAATATTTCTAAAATATTTTGAGAGCAATATGTTATTATAAATAATATTTTTAAAACATTTATAAAACATCAGTTAAAATATTTTTTAAATATTTATTAATACGTTTATTAAATTATTTTAAACATATTTATAAAACACACATTATATTATAACGTTTAGAAAATTTATATAAAATCAACATTTCAAAATGTTGATTAAATATTTCTTGCTTATGGGATATATAAAGGAAATATAAAGTTTTTAAGAAGTTATTTCAATTATTAAAAATGATTTAAATTTCGCAAAGCATAGTATTAAATGTATTATAACGCTTATTTATCTAACAGGTAAGCACTGGCAACGCAAAAAAAGTAAACAAATAATTAGGCCCTCAATAATTAATATCAAATCAACAACCGCGAACGAAACATCTTTCATAAACTATGAACTCCACTCTGTGCACGATCCTAAATTGCAAAGTGATATCAACGAATTTGCAAGTATAATAATCGATAAAAAACAAATCACTCTAGAAAATCTTCTAGGCAGCGGTGCATTTGGAGAGGTAAAATTAAATTCTTATTTCTTTGTATATTCTTGAAGATTTTCCTTAACATTTTTATGAGAAAATATTGAGGCACATTTTTAATAAAAAATATTACGAAAATTAGAATTTTTATGAAAAGTTGTATAATAAACAAACATTTTTTACCATGCATTCTATGGATTTGTATTGAATATGAAATAAATTCCAGGTATATCGAGGAGTCAAAAATGGAGAAGGTTCGGAAATAATGCCTGTCGCCATTAAGATGCTACGAAAAATGCTACCTGGCAAAAGAAACAAGAATTCTTGGAAGAGGCTAAAATTATGAAAGAATTTGACCACTGTTGGGCATCTGTATTACCGAGAATCAACCATGGCTGATATTGGAATTAATGGAAGTTGGTGACTTACTGAAATATTTGAGAGAGACTCGAACATTGCATCCGGAAGATCCGCACGCCCTGCGTCTACAAGATTTGCTTGCTATGTGCGAAGATGTTGCTCGAGGTTGTCGCTATTTAGAAAAACAACGCTACGTGCATAAAGATCTCGCTTGTCGAAATTGCTTAATATCCTCGAGAAATCGTGAAAACTGTGTTGTGAAAATCAGCCACTTCGGACTAGCTAAAGATGTTTACATCAAAGACTATTATCGTACAGTAATTAGAATGTAATTATATATATATATATATATATATATATATACATATATATATATTTTAAAAAGATAATTTTTTTGCATTATAATAATATTATATATTGTTGAGCTGAATAGAATAAATAAACAAAAATGAACAAAATGTAATATGAGATATTACTGGTTTTGTGTATAAGAGTATATGGAAAAAAATTATGAATTTTATCTACATTTAACGCTTGCAAAAATAAACATTATTTTTTTTTATAAAAGTCTTTAATTGCACTAAAATTGTATTTTAGGGAGGAGAAGGCCTGCTTCCTTTTCGTTGGATGGCACCGGAATCTTTGATAGACCGAATATTTACTTCACAAAGCGATGTTTGGTCATTCGGGGTACTAATGTGGGAAATTACATCGTTGGGACAACATCCCTATGCTGCCTTATATAGTTTTAATGAAGTAAAGGAGTATGTGTGTGCAGGGAAAAAGTTATTCAAATCCTATCACTGTCCAGAGAAATTATACGATTTGATGCTAAATTGCTGGAATGCGGCAAATAATAGACCAAATTTCATGAGTTGTCTCAAAACTATTGTAACCTTAAGAAACGAAATAGAAGACACAATCCTGCATTCAGTAAGTATTATCAGACATGTACAGATAAATTGGTAATTATTTTCATAAATCATATTTATAATTTAAAAAGTTTAAAAATATACTTGTAACAACTACAAATCTATGTTCGAAATTGTAGCTTTAGAAGTATATTTTTATCAAATATCATATTTGCGCGACGTTCTTTTAAATTTTTTTAATAAATTGCATTTTTCTGTGTTTTAGTCTCCGCCTTTCGAATATCGTCCGACAGCGGATTTTCTCTGAAGCACAGCCAATCGTATTTGTATTTTTGAACTTTTAACTGCGAATCATGCTTCAAACAATATTACATAGACATAATTAGTTTTTTGTATGAACAATTTTTGAGATCTTTGATCGTCGTTAATAACACTGTTCAGTAAAAAAAAACACCGGTACGAGACTAAATGTTTCTTATAGTATTTTTGACGCTGAACACAAATCTGTCTTAAAAATTGCTCCATCACGGCACAATTTAAAAAAAATTGCAATTGTAAGAAAGTGCTATTTTTTCAAATTTTGTCATATTATAACTACAATATATGTGACGTACTAAAGAAGTTTTCTTGCCATTATACTAAGTATGTTGACAATTGATTTTGTATTCATTGTTAGTGACCTAAAAGACCTTTAAGAATAAATAAACATATTTTAAAACTGTCTGTAGTTTGCGTCAACCTAAGAAACCGCTAACTTCTGCAATACCTTACATTCAACTGTGGATATAATAACCGACACCGAAAATTCTTACTGAGAGTTGAAAGTCCTAATTTACTTTATTTTTTCTCGTTCCAGTGTTCAAAAACCGTCATTTCTTTGTTAAACAGTGTTATTAAGAATCAATTTAATTTGACGTTGAGTGTACATAATTAAAAGAAATATATTAATTTTTCAATATCAACAAATTTATAAATTGATGGTAAAAAATCATTATAATCGATTTATGCGAAAAAATTGAAAAAATCACATTCAAAAATAAAATCTCGTAAATTACACGCGCACGCACATGTACATGCACACTTGACTTATTACAATAAATCTATTGGAGAACATAAAGACATTATTCGACTGCATTATCTCCTTCTTTCTCTTTCATACACATACATACAAACACCAAGCGCATTCCTACTTTTTTATTTTTTTTTCTTCTGATTCTTAGTAAAATAAATTTCTTGGTTCCAGTTTCCGCCTTCTAAAAAATTTGAAATGGAGAATCTTAACTGAAGCACAGTCGTATTTTGAACATTCAACCGCCATGATGTCTTAAATGATATTATATAAGTGCATAATCACTTTTTTTGACCAAACGAGTTTTGAAATCTTTGATCGAGATTAATATCGACCAATTTTATCGTCGTTTGTCGATCTATATTATTATCAATAATTTCCATCTATTTTTTTTTATCTAATCGAAAAAAGTTTTACATATAGTTTTACATTTTATATCTTTTTTGAAAGAGGCAAGTAATTTTTGCGGTAAAGGAAGGGTATAATAAATTTCCGGCAGTTTCGTCAACGTAAATGACCAATGTGTTGACGTAATGTCTATAAAAATCATATTAACCGAATATAATCGAGCGTAACTGGAGTTAATCGAAGCTTATAAAGTACCCCTTCCCCAAAAATATCAAACCACACTCCCCGCCTTTGACACAATTGTTAGCTATTGTGTTGCCTATATATTCAAATGCCAATTGAAATGATTGAGTGTGCATTAGTCAGTAATTGTTGTTCAGTTAAGATTCTCGTGAAGGAGAATCCAGTAAAAATATCTGCAAGAGAAAAAAGTTATCATGTTCGGAACGTTAAAAATATTATGTATTTTATTAAAAGTGTTAATGCTATCGAGAACGGCCTTCGCGGTATCTTTAAGACTGAAGATATTCATATAGTACAGGTCAGTCTTCAAAAAAGGATATTTTCATGTGCCTTGATTTAATCTTGGTGTAAATATGAAATTTTTTTCGTAGATAAGAGATAAAAAAATATATTTTATGTTATTGTAACTAATGAGAAATTATTTGTGTAATTTAAACTGTTCAATAAACGTAACACAAGAATTTTTATATTACAAAAAAAATACAAAAATATGTTTAATTTTGCGTTAAAAACAAACACATTAAAAATATAATATTATATAGCACAAAATTTTGCTTACATAATTAAAACGATATATGTATATTAAATCTCAAACGTAGCATGTGTTGATATAACTGTTCTATTTAAGAATAAAAATTTTTAAGAATAATGATTCCGTTTATTCTCTACATTATTAATATATTTTTTATTATTGTATAAAACTTACAATAAATTATTTTTTATTTAATAAAACTAAATAAAAAGAATTGAGTTTAAATAAGTTGCATGAGTAATAAAAATCATTAAATCTCGTGTAGATCTGTTTAATGCATTTCAGTATTATAATAATTTATAAGATCAAATATTTTAAAGTCAATATTATATAGTCATAGTTATATCTACAGCTAAACAGCTATCACTACGTGCATTAATATTATTCATTGTATCAATGTATATGTATAATAATGTATATAACAAACGTGTACATACATATATTAACATATACGTATGTACATATTTTAAGCAAAATACAAGTCGTAAACGTTTATGGCATTAAATATATTATGCTCTTCAAATGTCACTTGCGCTGGAATATAATAATAAAAATTAAATTTATAGAAAAATAAAAGATAATTTATTAGACAATAGAAATATAAAAGAAATTTAATAAAATTTTTAAATACAGGAATGTCAAACATTTCTATGATCACAAAACAATTACAATGAAATTAACTTTAGTGTTGAAATATAAACTTTAACACTATCAATGAGATAAAAATCGCTTTCGTGAAAATAGAAAGCGAATTAAAGTAATGTTTTACTTAAAAAAATTATTGTTATTAAATAAACTAAAAATAACGCAAAAACTGAATTTATAGACAAAGCTGTTTTAACAATCGAAGAGAATTAGACTTTCTATTACTATAAGATTTAATTACTATAAGAGACAGTTATATAATTTCTTATTGGTTTTTCTTGTTCATTCAACAGAATACACCATTTTTCGAGTTCTACACAATTAATAATTACCTGTTACGAATCCAGAAGTTATATATGCAGGAATATTTTAACAGCATAACTGAAAAAAATGTAGTTGGTAAGAATAATTCATTTGTAGACATATTTATATTCTCAAAATTTCTTAATTAGTTGCAAAAATTGTATTTGCCAAATCAAAATTAAAAAATTAAATTTGAAGAATTATCTCTCAACATGAAAATATATAAATAAATATATATTCTATTCGAAAAAAATAAACAAAAAGAGGAATAGATGCAAACACTCTGTTCACAAAATATTTTAAAATAAAATCAATCTCATTCTTTTGCTAGCTATGTCGTTTCTAACTAGTTGGAAATCTCATATTTTTATATTTTTAATCAATAGAAAAGTTCGGAAAATACTAAACGCTTAGTAATTATTAAACGATTTCTCTTCAATGTGAGACATTTGATATAATATATTGTGTATTATTTGAATTTTAACTTGCTAGCAACCAGTAAGATCAAGAGACGCATGCTACGTCAGTTTCAAGGGAGAAATCATTTTCGTTGAAATTGGTTAGTTGTGCACAAAACACAAATTTTTCTTCGTACAATATGTCAAGAAATGAAATAAATCTCAATTCTTTCTTGTCAATTAGACACTCTAACATTTACGACCTGGGTCTTACTATTCCGTTAAAATTCTAATTTGCTTTTTTGAAAGCTTTACTAAAGTCTTTGAAATATTTGTTTTCGTTAAAATTCATTGAATGATCATTGACAATTACTGTCTCTTCTATTATAAAATATTCATTTTTTGTCAGGACTACTATAATTATGTTATTGCTTTTAAGTTTCAAAAACGTACATAGATTATGATGTTATTATTATTATTTGGTTATTTTAAAAGTCAATTTGCTACATTAATTTGCAGTTTGTAGTTTATATATATATATAAACTACAAACTGCAAATTAATGTAGCAAATTTATAGTTATATATATTAGTTATGTATGTAGTTATATATAGTTATATTATATAGTATAGTTATATATATATATATAGTTATATATGTATTAGTTTATATATATATATAAACTACAAACTAAATATATATATATATTTTTTTTTTTTACTTAGAAGTATCTGTCATCGTACTTTATGTACAATATCATATAGGTTAAATGTGCCAAATATTGTACTCTTAGTTTTTCTCACATAGTAAAATAAAGCATAATGAAATTAACATTCATTTTTTTATAAAATTGAGTTTTTGATATACATATAAAAAAATTAAATATATAACATATTCTTTAAATATTGAAAATAATATTTAAGATTTTTGATACCTGATATAGCTTGTTTTTCATATTAAGTTGTTAAAAAGCTTAAAAAAACAACGAATATTATTTACATATATCAAGATAAATAGATTAATATACACCACCTATAAAAATGTATTCTATATTATTGAAACCCGTATAAACTATGAAGAAACAATATTTTAAGCAATTTTAAATATATTCTTTTTAATTTAATGAATCCAAAACCGTTAAAAATTTTGTGTTTATTTGTATCACCGTATTTAATAACTGCACAAATTTTAGTCATTTTTTGTCGATGTAGCAATTACTATGCCCCCTTATGCTACACGGTATATGGTATAATCGACATATTTAGGGCACAGTATATTCTGAACTTCCACACGGCACTTGGAATAGTAATTGAAAAAATACAGTAAATAAGACATAGTACATGAGTACAGTAAATGAGATCCATTTTTGTGATTTTTATCCAGTAACTTAGCTTGAATCGATTTTTTTTTAATTATTTTCTTTTAATGTTTTTTAAAGTTTTTTAAATATTTTATTTATAAAGAGGTTCCTTGTATTACAAAAAACAATTGAATTATTATTATAATACTTTAAGACGTAGAAAAAAATTAAGAATTCTTTTTAAATTTAAAAACATGAAGGGGTGTAGCTAAACGGACACAGTAATCGACACATTTATTCTATTTTTTTTATCAACAATTAAACAATTATTTTATTTTATCTTTTCTCAATTACCGAAATTGGAAGTCTAACATAATAATTCTAAGAGTTTAACAAGGTTTTGTAATATAAATATAAATTTAAAGTGTCAAACAGGCAATAAGAGCCAAATCGCGGATGACAGTGCGTTATCCCAACGAAACTAATTTTTTCGTTAGAATTAAAAACCTGTACACAAGGCACTAAATTTTACTTGGTCACGGCCAAGATTTAAAATTGGAATAATCTTTACAAGAGATTTAATTCCATACATTTCCTGTTTCTCCTTAATGAAATAAATGCGAGAGAAAAATATAGATTCGAAAGTAGCTGAATCGGGAATCGAACCCGAGACCTTTCGCTTGCCGAGCGACTGCTCTTCCAACTGAGCTATTCAGACCCTTTCGATCCTATATTTTTCATTTGCCTTTTCGTAAAATTTTAATTAAGTGCTAACTAAATTTAGTACCTTGTGCACAGGTTTTTAATTCTAACGAAAAAATTAGTTTTGTTGGGATAACGCACTGTCATCCGCGATTTGGCTCTTATTGCCTGTTTGACACTTTAAATTTATATTTATATTACAGAGCCTTGTTAAACTCTTAATTTATACACGCTGGCTTAAAGGCGTTTGTTTATCAACATTATTATATATATAGCAGAGAAAAGTATAGAATCGAAAGGATCTGAATAAAAACTCAGTTGGAAGAGCAGTCGCCCGGCAAGCGAAAGGTCTCGGGTTCAATTCCCGATTCAGCGACTTTCGGATCTATATTTTTCTCTCGCATTTATTTCATTGAGGGAGAACAGGGGATGTATAGAATTAAATCTCTTGTAGAGATTATTCCAATTTTAAATCTTGGCCGTGACCAAGTAAAATTTAGTGCCTTGTGTACAGGTTTTTAATTCTAACGAAAAATTTAGTTTCGTTGGGATAACGCACTGTCATCCGCGATTTGGCTCTTATTGCCTGTTTGACACTTTAAACTTATATAATAATTAATTCTATATACCAACTAAATTATTTTAAAACTTCTAAAAAGTTTTACTTATTGTATATACCCCATTCTTATATATACATATTTATGATTATAATTCCGTATAATTATGATTTTTGAAAGTTCTCAAGGAAGATAGCACACTATATCCAGGAAGCATCCCAAATGAATCATTTCCTCTTCGGACATTCGTAGAATTCAATAATAGGCTAACTAAGAAAAACATTTGTGTGACACTAAGGTAAAGAAGAATCCAAATTTTTAGTTTGTATATTTTTCATTTTTTCATTTAACGACACACACACAATATATACATACATACATGGTTTGTCCGGAAAATAAGTGTACTGAGCTCGGGAAAAAAAATTTATTGTACTTTTCCATACTTTAAGCTAATATTCCTCAAAATAGGACCCTTGTGAATCGATACACTTGTACCAGCGGCGTTCCCATTCCTGGAACGCTCTCGCGAAGGCATCATCGGGGACCTCTCGAAGACACGTCGTCACGGCCTCTTTGACGGCGTCCAAAGTCCCGTAACGCGTTCCTTTCAAACTCCTCTTATCTTGGGGAACAGAAAGAAGTCCGGTGGTGCCAAGTCCGGGCTGTAGGGCGGGTGCGGCAGCGTTACCACGCCGTGCTTGGTCAAGAACTCCGACACGACAAGCGCGGTGTGAGACGCATGCCGAATTGGTCCCTAATAATCTCGTGCACTATTGTTTTTGGCATATTACACTCCTCTGCTATCATCCGAACACTAAGACGACGATCAGAGTTCAGTTTATCGCAAATTTTTTGCACATTTTCGTCGGTGAGTGTCGTTGATGGGCGTCCAGGCCGTGGTTCGTCGTCGACCTCTTCTCTGCCCTCCACGAACATCTTGTGCCACTGAAAGATCATGTTTCTGGACATGGCTGACTCCCCGTAAGCCTGGTTAATCATACCGACAGTTTCGGTAGGCGATTTCCCAAGCTTTACCGCAAATTTGATGGAATAACGCTGCTCCAAAAACTTCGGCATCGCGTTCCGTGACGTGGGTCGAGCGTAGAGGTTCGCGTTAACGGAGCTCCTCACTACACCACAGCTCAGAGCCGGCTGCCGTTTTCAGCGTCGCTTGTCAACATACCCCCCTTCACTCCCAGCCCGTCAGAGCGGTGCTGGGCGCGCCTGGAGCGGCGGGAAAAAATCAGTACACTTATTTTCCGGACAAACCATGTATATATATATATATATATATATATATAATATTTACACACTTCTATAATTGTTTGAATGCTTTTATATATACATTTGTCCAAATTCTATTGTAAATTATAAATCGTGTAAAGTGACCTTATATAAAAAATCTAACTCTTAATGTACTTTTTTTTATTACGTTCTATGCTTTATTTTGTTTATCTTTTATACCATATATCTATCACACGCTGACGTAAGGTTTTCACGATTATTTTAAGGATATCAAATAGTTTTTTTTTTTAAGTAGACCATTTTTACGGGTCCCATTTTAAAAAGCGCACCTCAATAATTCTTCAACAAAGCATTTTCAGCAAAAATGTTTCAGATAAAAGTTGTATAGTTTCGAGGGCGACATAAAAGGGTGCCATTGATTCGACCCTGAAAAGTCATTTAAAGGTCACGTGAGGGTCAACTTCAATTCTTAAATGGAATCATCTATTTTTCACTGTATATTCTTGTAGCTTATCTCGAGACCTTTCCAAATCCCTATAATAAAGTATTTTTCGTGAAATATTCTTTGAGTTAGAACGGTTTGAAGTTAACAATTTTTTTAGATAAAATGTAAAAAATTTGGTATTTATACCTTAAGACTTTTATGCACGGAATAATGAGACCCATCAATTGGTGTAAAAAAAATACATATAGTTGCTTTAAAAAAGATGTGTGTAATTTGTATATATTTTTTTAAGAGTAACTATGTGTTTTCTTTACACCAATTGATTGATCTCATTATTCCGTGCATAAATGTATTAAGACATGTTTAACGAAAACTGCATGAATATTTTACAAGATATTTTACATTTTGGAATAAAATTGTTAGCTTCAAACCTTTATAACTCAAAGAGTATATTTTAAGAAAAAATACTTTATTATAGAGGTTTGAAAAGCTCTCGAGATAAGCTACAATAATATACAATAAAAATAGATAATTTCATTTAAGAAATTAAAGTTGACCTTTACGTGACCTTTAACTGATTTTTCAGGTTAAATCCATGGCACCATCTTATGTCTTCCTCAAAACCATACAATTTTTGTCTGACAATAAAACATTTTTGGTTTGTTGAAGAATTATCGAGGTGCGATTTTTAAAATAGGACACCCTATATATATATATATATATATATATAATATATATATATATTATTTATTATATATTATAATTTTAGCAAATTTCTGATAAAAAATAAATAAATTATGTATATATATATATATATATAACAGGGTTTGTCCGGAAAGTAATGCGTCGCATTTTTTTAAAAAGAATTTATTGATCGCATAGGTAAAACAACTTAAAATTGTTCGAAGTATGACCCTTCTGCGTCAATACATTTTTGCCAACGCGATTTCCATGCGTCATAAGATTTCTGGAACTCCTTGACTGGGATGCTGTTCAGGGAGGCCGTCGAAGTAGCTTGTACGTTGTCAACCGACTCGAGCTGTTGTCCTTTGAGCTCCCTTTTCAGCCGAGGAAATAAAAAAAGAAATTGGGATTATCTGCACAGAGTTGCTTGAGTTCTTCACAAACTTCCACTCGGTGTTGCTTTTGCGCATCGGTCAACACTCTGGGCACAAGTTTTGCGCAAATCTTCCGCATGGCCAAGTCTTCCGATACAATCTCGTGAACAATCGTTTTCGGCAAGTTCAATAATTCCGACATTAAGCGAACATTCATTCGACGGTCTGAATTCAATAATTGGCGCACACGAGTCACATTGTCGTCCGTTCGCGATGTTGACGGGCGTCCTGCGCGGCCTCGTCGGCGACCTCCTTCCGACCTTCTCTAAACATCTTGTGCCATCTGTTTGACTGCGATTTGGAAAGGCAATCGTCCCCGAAAACTTTCTTAAGCATTTCAAAAGTTTCCAGCGGCGTCTTGTCCAGCTTCACGCAAAACTTTATCGCATAGCGTTGCTCTATCGTTCTCTCCATCACAAGTTCGACGCGACCACTAAGCAGAGGTTCACAGAATAAGCCGTCCTAACCCTCCAAGCGCATGGAAACAATTGAGCGACCTACCGTTGGAAAGCTAAGGGTACCCCCTTCCTACCCAACCGGTCCCATCGCTCTGCGATGTATAGTCGCGTCACAAAAAAATGCGACGCATTACTTTACGGACAAACCCTGTATATATATATATATATATATATATATATATATATATATATATATATATATATATACATAATTTATTTATTTTTTATCAGAAATTTGCTAAAATATAATTTGCTAAAAATAAAAAATTAAGATACCTTATTTCTTTATAGATCGGACGAATTTAAAAATCAATATATCATACTACATATGAATTATGTTCAGTATTGGAGCGAGGATCTAAATCAAACGATTCAAATAAATATCACACATACGCAGATAGATAATCCATTAGAATACAAACTATACGATTTAAAAGCTGATACAACTTACTATTTTAATATAGAAATAATAACATTGTCTGATCGTAGTTCTTTTGTTAATTTCAATGTGTCCACCATGAACGAGAATCCGATACCTCTATTACTCGTCCTCCCGTGGAATTCATTTGGTGTGAATATATTGGATGTAGATTTACGGATAGGTATTGAACTTGATACACAAATTATGTATAGAGATATCGTTTACTCAGCATTGGAACATAAAATATATGGAATCAATAAACAGTCCGAGCTAATAACATCGGATTTTAATCCAACCGCAATCCAAACCGAACGGAATCGAACAATAGCAAAGCTCAATAACACTGCACATCATCTCTGCTTTGATTGGATTCATAGAAAACTTTATTGGGTACAAGAATGCACAACGGGAATCTGCATTATAAAGCTAGACTTAACATTGTGGGAACAAATAGGCATAGTAAAATATGATGAAATAAATATATCCAAGAAACGATATCTAGTACTGTTTTTACATGTACTGCCATCATCAGGGTATATTAAATTTTATACATGTAAAAAATGTTATTAACTTTGATTTTTTAATTAAAACTTGAAGTTATTGTATAATTTTTCATCGCTTTAATAATTGTTTTTTTATCACAAGGTATAAAATCATAAACTCACAAAGAATTGTAGAAATTTCAATATAATCTTACATTATTTTCTGATATAATAGATATGTTATTAGTAGTGAATAATATGCGTACTTTTCAGATATATGTATTGGTTACTGTCTGGCTCGTCAGAAGAAGTAATGCGATCGGATTTAGATGGAAAAAACATGAAAACTCTTAGAAAAGACAATAAATGCTTTCGTAACGAACTACATCTAGAGTCCTACTGGACCTTACAGACTGATACAACAAATATTGAGCCGCTATTATATTGGAGTAATTTCATGGGCTTTGTCATAACAGATATTGATGGTTGTAAATATTACAAGATTTCAAACTTTAGAGATATAGACAATTACAGATATTTAACGTTTGACAAAACAAACATTTACTTGTACAATGAATACGAAAACGTAATTTACATTTTTAAAAAAATATATCCTCTTCTCGAATACAAAGAACATAAATTGGAATATGTACGTAGAATACGTTACCGAGAAAATGTTGCTTTTCTCCATAACTTTATATCACTTGATAAAACTTTACAAACATATCCTCAGACAAAATGTTTGATACCTAACATGAGAAATTATCGTATTGAAGTATTGAATAAAACCATACACAGTATCAATGTAAGCCTTCCAGAACCGATTCTCAATGACGGATGCGAAAAGTACAACTTACCAACTACTATATATAACATCTCCAGAAGTTATTTAATATGTTTGGACAATGGCAGTAACAAGTTCGAGCAATTCAATGTGACAACATACGAACGGCATTACGAATACAAGAATTTAATGCCGTTCACAGAATATACGCTGAAGCTAGCACTGAGCAATTTTTACTTTGACAAGTTATCAATGGACTTGCAATTCGGCTCGGATGTGAAAGTGATAACTACCGGAAAGCTCGACATGCCAGAAGATGTGACGGTTCAAGTTTTAACGCCAACGTTAGCGATAGTTTATTGGATGCCATCCAAGAAATTAAACTGCGTGACAGTGACCTACGAGGTGCATTGGATGGAATTTTCAAATGAAACGCAAGAAATAATACAAATGTCATCTCCCATCACAAAACTTATCGATACGCTCGAACGTACAACAGATGGAAAGCTTTTCACGACAATCGGATCGCTGCTGTCAAAACATAATTATCAGATATATGTGCGTGTATATCCATACAATTTTAGTCAATTCTTCACTGACAGTTTAAACAAAACAATTTACATGTCAGAACCGAATAATTTAAGTTTAATCAGAGTCAGTACAAATAGTATGGATATCTCATGGATTTCTGGCGTCAATTTGACGATGCACACGAAATTCCGTCCCATACTGGAATACAAAGAAGATGCGATGTGGGAATGGCAAATGGTGAATATCAGTGAAAGAAGTAATAATATAATAATATATTATATAAAAATTTATTGCCGCAAACTTTATACAATTTCCGTTTGATCCTGAAATACCCCGAATACATGGACGACTTTGTATGGCCTGAAAAAGGATTTAGATTTGAAACGCATGGTGAGTAAACCATACAATGATAATATGTATATGATATTACATGTATATGGGACGTTCCACGTCAAGTGGAACAGATGTCTGGGTAAAATTTGTGAAGTCGGAACAAGATGTCTTAAAATTTTTGTTATTTTATGTTGTTATTAGAAAAAATACCTTTTAAAAAGTTTAAAGTACCCACTCCAATATGATGGCTAGAATACATGATAAACTTACTGAAAACATAGTACTGAATAATTGAAAGAGAGTCAATTGCGCCGGAATATCTTCTTCCAATCTTAATTGTTATTATATGACACATGTTAAACATCAATCATTTCATTTTTTTTAACACATTTAAATAGTACTAAATTTACGATAAAAATAGAAAAAAGAAATTAAAAATTTTCTGAAATTCTAACTATACATTCTTTATAAGCAACTTGAAAAACCCCTAGATACCGAGTTTCATTGAAATCGAATGCGTTTTGATCGATAATTATGTTTTCAGTAAGTTTATCATATATTCCAGCCGTATCATATTGAAGTAGGTACTTTGAATTTTATAAAAGGCCACGTTTTTTCTTAAACAACTTAAAATAACGAAAATTTTAAGCTCTCAAACGTCTATTTCTGATTTCACAAATTTTTCCCAGACGCCTGTCCTACTTGACGTGGAACGTCCCATATATACTTTAAGACTTTCTTAAAAATAAATTTTAATTAGAAATTATAAATAATAAAGTTCTAAGATAATATATTCTAGAATAAAACGAAGATATTTAAATTGTACTCTTGTATAACAAAGGTAATGTACCAAGTGCTCCTGGGAAACCCATTGTAACAAAACTTCCAAATTTGACGTATCAATTAAACTGGGCACATGCGCAAACTCATGATTCACCAGTGATTTTGTATCGACTGGAGGGTTTAATTGTCGAAAATAATGACAAAGAAGTCAATCGAACCGACAAAATCAATCATTGGAATTTATACTATAATGGAACAAATAATTATTGCTGGATAACGACGAAAGAAATGAATCAGAAATATCTTTTTCGTGTGCAGGCTACAAATACTTATGGTTCTGGGAAATGGAGCGGCGAATCAAGAGTCGTTGATTTGACATCAAATCTGAAATCTAATAAGAACGAAATATTAACTGTGCAATACGTAACGTTAATATTAAGCATTGTCGCTACCATCGTAATCTATAATGTTTACTACTTTTACTGCTGTGTGTTTATTTTTTACAGATTTAAAATAATTATAATTAAATACTATAATTAAAAATTATTTTAAACATGATATCCCAGTAAGCAAGAAATTATTACTACAAGGTTATTATAATGATTTTTACTAACATAATAATGTTGTCAAGTATGCAATTTTGAACATTGAACATTATTATGAACAAACTTTGGTATCGATTTAGAGATTTCGGTTATGTTGAAATAACATTTCTTTAAATCGAAAAATAAAAAGTATATTTTAATTTTCTATTTATTACAGTTTATTTTTGTCAAACAATTTGAGTATTTTTATTAAAAATTCATACAAAATACAAGAAGATAATCTAATCTAATTAATTCTTCAATATAATTAAAAATTCGACAAATATCTTTTGAACTTACAAGATATAATATAACATTAATATTAATGTTAATAATACACACTGAAAGAAATCTTACTTTTTATTCTTTCATTCGTTTTTATTTTGTTTTTTTTTTTTTATTATTTCTTTCGTTTATTTGCAAAAACTTACTGAAAGATTATATATGGATTCACATTGCATATTGGCAGGAGTATATCGAAATCGAAGAACAAATAAACGTGTTAATAACATATAAAGAACAATTTGACTTATGTTATTAAAATATTTTTAAAATATTTTGAAAGCAATATGTTATTAAATAATATTTTTAAAACATCAGTTAAAATATCTTTTAAATATTATTAATACGTTTATCAAAATATTTTAAACATATTTATAAAACATTATATCATAACGTTTAGAAAATTTATATAAAATCAACATTTCAAAATGTTGATTAAATATTTCTTGCTTATGGGACATATAAAGGAAATATAAAGTTTTTAAGAAGTTAGTTCAATTATTAAAAATGGTTTAAATTTCGCAAAGCATACTATTGAATGTATTATAACGCTTATGTATTTAACAGGTAAGCACTGGCAACGCAAAAAAAGTAAACAAATAATTAGGCCTTCAATAATTAATATCGAATCAACAACCGCGAACGATACATCTTTCATAAACTATGAACTCCACTCTGTGCACGATCCTAAATTGCAAAGTGATATCAACGAATTTGCAAGTATAATAATCGATAAAAAACAAATCACTCTAGAAAATCTTTTAAGCAGCGGTGCATTTGGAGAGGTAAAATTAAATTCTTATTTCTTTGTATATCCTTGAAAATTTTCCTTAACATTTTTATCAGAAAATATTGAGGCACATTTTTAATAAAAAATATTGCAAAAATTAAAATTTTTTATAAAAAGTTGTATAATAAACAAACATTTTTAGCATGCATTCTATGGATTTGTATTGAATATAAAATAAATTCCAGGTATATCGAGGAGTCAAAAATGGAGAAGGTTCGGAAATAATGCCTGTCGCCATTAAGATGCTACAAAAAATGCTTCCTGGCAAAAGAAACAAGAATTTTGGAAGAGGCTAAAATTATGAAAGAATTTGACCACAAACATGTGCTAAGATTGTTGGGCATCTGTATTACCGAGGATCAACCATGGCTGATATTGGAATTAATGGAAGTTGGTGACTTACTGAAATATTTGAGAGAGACTCGAACATTGCATCCGGAAGATCCGCACGCCCTGCGTCTACAAGATTTGCTTGCTATGTGCGAAGATGTTGCTCGAGGTTGTCGCTATTTAGAAGAACAGCACTATGTGCATAGAGATCTCGCTTGTCGAAATTGCTTAATATCCTCGAGAAATCGTGAAAACTGTGTTGTGAAAATCAGCAACTTCGGACTAGCTAAAGATGTTTACATCAAAGACTATTATCGTACGGTAATTAGAATGTAATTATATATATATATATATATATATATATATTATTTTAAAAAGATAAATTTTTTTGCATTATAATAATATTATATATTGTTGAGCTGAATAGAATAAATAAACAAAAATGAACAAAATGTAATATGAGATATTACTGGTTTTGTGTATAAGGGTATATGGAAAAGAATGATAAATTTTATCTACATCTAACGCTTGCAAAAATAAACATAATTTTTTTCGATAAAAGTCTTCATTTGCACTAAAATTGTATTTTAGGGAGAAGAAAGCCTGCTTCCTTTTCGTTGGATGGCACCGGAATCTTTGATAGACCGAATATTTACTTCACAAAGCGATGTTTGGTCATTCGGGGTACTAATGTGGGAAATTACATCGTTGGGACAACATCCCTATGTTGCCTTATATAGTTTTAATGAAGTAAAGGAGTATGTGTGTGCAGGGAAAAAGTTATTCAAATCCTATCACTGTCCAGAGAAATTATACGATTTGATGCTAAATTGCTGGAATGCGGCAAATGATAGACCAAATTTCATGAGTTGTCTCGAAACTATTGTAACCTTAAGAAACGAAATAGAAGACACAATCCTGCATTTAGTGAGTATTATCAGACATGTACAGATAATTGATAATTGTTTTCATAAATCATTTTTATTTCATAAATTTAATCTACAAATCTAAAGTCGAAATTATAGCTTTACAAGTATATTTTTTCCAAATGTTTGCGCGGCCCTCTTTCTCTTAAATTTTTTAATATATTGCTATTTCTCTGTCTTAGCCTCCGTCTTCTGAATATCGTCCGATAGCGGATTTTTCCTGATGCGCAGACGATCGTATTTGTATTTAATGATACATCAAACAATCAATATCATATAAACAAAATCAGTTTTTGAATGAACAATTTTTGAGATCTGTGATTAATAATACTGTTCAGTAAAAGAACACCAGTACGTGTTTTTGACGCTAAACACAAAAGTTTAAAAAGTTTAAAAATATACTTGTAACAACTACAAATCTATGTTCAAAATTGTAGCTTTAGAAGTATATTTTTATCAAATGTCATATTTGCGTGACTCTCTTTTAAATTTTTTAATAAATTGCATTTTTCTCTGTTTTAGTCTCCGCCTTCTGAATATCGTCCGACAGCGGATTTTCTCTGAAGCACAGCCAATCGTATTTGTATTTTTGAACTTTTAACTGCGAATCATGCTTCAAACAATATCATATAGACATAATTAGTTTTTGTATGAACAATTTTTGAGATCTTTGATCGTCGTTAATAACACTGTTCCGTAAAAAAAACACCGGTACGAGACTAGATATTTCTTATAGTATTTTTGACGCTCAACACGAATCTGTCTTAAAAATTGCTCCATCACGGCACAATTTAAAAAAATTGCAATTGTAAGAAAGTGCTATTTTTTCGAATTTTGTCATATTATAACTACAATATATGTGACGTACTAAAGAAGTTTTCTTGCCATTATACAAAGTATGTTGACAATTGATTTTGTATTCATTGTTAGTGACCTAAAAGACCTTTAAGAATAAATAAACATATTTTAAAACTGTCTGTAGTTTGCGTCAACCTAAGAAACCGCTAACTTCTGCAATACCTTATATTCAACTGTGGATATCATAACCGACATTGAAAATTCTTACTGAGAGTTGAAAGTCCTAATTTACTTTATTTTTTCTCGTTCCAGTGTTCAAAAACCGTCATTTCTTTGTTGAACAGTGTTATTAAGAATCAATTTAATTTGACGTTGGGTGTACATAATTAAGGAAATATATAATTTTTCAATATCAACAAATTTATAAATTGATGGTAAAAAATCATTATAATCGATTTATGCGAAAAAATTGAAAAAATCACATTCAAAAATCTCGTAAATTACACGCGTACGCACATGTACATGCACACTTGACTTATTACAATAAATCTATTGGAGGACATAAAGACATTATTTGACTTCATTATCTTCTTCTTTCTCTCTCATACACATACATACAAACACCAAGCGCATTCCTACTATTTTATTTTTTTTCTTCTGATTCTTAGTAAAATAAATTTCTTGGTTCCAGTTTCCGCCTTCTAAAAAATTTGAAATGAAGAATCTTAACTGAAGCGCAGTCGTATTTTGAACATTCAACCGCCATGATGTCTTAAATGATATTATATAAGTGCATAATCACTTTTTTTGACCAAACGAGTTTTAAATCTTTGATCGAGATTAAATCGACCAATTTTTCGTTGTCTCAATTATTATTTAATTTATCTATTCAAAATTTAACATATATTTTTTTTACATCTTTAATAAAATATTAATTTAAGTGTCAAACAATATAGCCAAATCGCGGATGACAGTGCGTTATTCCAACGAAAAATTGTTTTGGTTATAAAAATCTGTACCTAAATTTACTTGGTCACTGCCAAGATTTAAAATTGGAAAATCTTATACAAGATTTAATTCTATCATACCCCTCTTTATTTAAAAATGCGAAAAAGTATACTCCGAAAATTTGAATCGGGAAAGACCCGGACCGCTTGCCAGAAAAATTAGTGAGCTATTCTTTCGAACTATAATTCATTTTTTGAAAATTTTAATTAAGTGCTAACGTTTTATTATTTTTATTACATTTTATTTCTAACGAAAAAATTAATTTTGTTGATATTAACTGTCATCCGCGATATGCTCTTATTGCCTGTTTGAAATTTAATTTATATATAATTAATTCTATAAATAACTATATTATTTTAAAACTTCTAAAAAGTTTTACTTATTGTATATACCCCATTCTTATATATACATATTTATGATTATAATTCCGTATAATTATAATTTTTGAAAGTTCTCAAGGAAGATAGCACACTATATCCAGGAAGCATCCCAAATGAATCATTTCCTCTTCGGACATTCGTAGAATTCAATAATAGGCTAACTAAGAAAAACATTTGTGTGACACTAAGGTAAAGAAGAATCCAAATTTTTAGTTTGTATATTTTTAATTCTTTTCAATTTAACGACACACACACAATATATACATACATATATATATATATATATATATATATATATATAATAATATTTACACACTTCTGTAATTGTTTGAATGCTCTTATATATACATTTGTCCTAAATTCTATTGTGAATTATAAATCGTGTAAAGTGACCTTATATAAAAAATCTAACTCTTAATGTACTTTTTTTTATTACGTTCTATGCTTTATTTTGTTTATCTTTTATACCATATATCTATCACACGCTGACGTAAGGTTTTCACGATTATTTTAAGAATATCAAACAGTTTTTTTTTTTAAGTAGACCATTTTTACGTGTCCCCTTTTAAAAAGCGCACCTCAATAATTCTTCAACAAAGCATTTTCAGCAAAAATTTTTCAGATAAAAGTTGTATAGTTTCGAGGGCGACATAAGAGGGTGCCATTGATTCGACCCTGAAAAGTCATTTAAAGGTCACGTGAGGGTCAACTTCAATTTCTTAAATGGAATCATCTATTTTTCACTGTATATTCTTGTAGCTTATCTCGAGACCTTTCCAAATCTCAATAATAAAGTATTTTTCATGAAGTATTCTTTGAGTTAGAACGGTTTGAAGTTAACAATTTTTTTAGATAAAATGTAAAATGTCTTGTAAAATATTCAGTTTTTCGGTATTTATACCTTAATACTTTTATGCACGGAATAATGAGACCCATCAATTGGTGTAAAGAAAATACATATAGTTGCTTTAAAAGAGATGTATGTAATTTGTATATATTTTTTTAAGAGTAACTATGTGTTTTCTTTACACTAATTGATTGGTCTCATTATTCCGTGCATAAATGTATTAAGATATGTTTAACGAAAACTGCATGAATATTTTACAAGATATTTTACATTTTGGAATAAAATTGTTAGCTTCAAACCTTTATAACTCAAGAGTATATTTTAAGAAAAAATATTTTATTATAAAGGTTTGAAAAGCTCTCGATATAAGCTACAATAATATACAATAAAAATAGATAATTCCATTTAAGAAATTAAAGTTGACCTTTACGTGACCTTCAACTGATTTTTCAAAGTTAAATCGATGGCACCATCCTATGTCTCCCTCAAAACCATACAATTTTGTCTGACAATAAAACATTTTTGGTTTGTTGAAAAATTATCAGAGTGCGATTTTTAAAATAGGACACTATATATATATATATATATATATATATATATATATATATATATACATAATTTATTTATTTTTTATCAGAAATTTGCTAAAATTATAATTTGCTAAAAATAAAAAAATTAAGATATCTTATTTCTTTATAGATCGGACAAATTTAAAAATCAATATATCATACTACATATGAATTATGTTCAGTATTGGAGCGAGGATCTGAATCGAACGATTCAAATAAATATCACAAATACGCAGATATATAATCCATTAGAATACAAAGTATACGATTTAAAAGCTGATACAACTTACTATTTTAATATAGAAATAATAACATTGTTTGATCGTAGTTCTTTTGTTAATTTCAATGTGTCCACCATGGACGAGAATCCGATACCTCTATTACTCGTCCTCCAGTGGAATTCATTTGGTGTGAATATATTGGATGTAGATTTACAGATAGGTATTGAACTTGATACACAAATTATGTATAGAGATATCGTTTACTCAGCATTGGAACATAAAATATATGGAATCAATGAACAGTCAGAGCTAATAACATCGGATTTTAATCCAACCGCAATTCAAACGAATCGAACAATAGCAAAGCTCAATGACACTGCACATCATCTCTGCTTTGATTGGATTCATAGAAAACTTTATTGGGTACAAAATGCACAACGGGAATCTGCATTATAAAGCTAGACTTAACATTGTGGGAACAAATAGGCATAGTAAAATATGATGAAATAAATATATCCAAGGAACGATATATGTAATGTTTTTACATGTACTGCCATCATCAGGGTATATTAAATTTTATACATGTAAAAATGTTATTAACTTTGATTTTTAATTAAAACTTGAAGTTATTGTATAATTTTTCATTGCTTTAATAATTGTTTTTATCACAAGGTATAAAATCATAAACTCACAAAGAATTGTAGAAATTTCAATATAATCTTATATTATTTTCTGATATAATAGATATGTTATTAGTAGTGAATAATATGCGTACTTTTCAGATATATGTATTGGTTACTGTCTGGCTCGTCAGAAGAAGTAATGCGATCGGATTTAGATGGAAAAAACATGAAAACTCTTAGAAAAGACAATAAATGCTTTCGTAACGAACTACATCTAGAGTCCTACTGGACCTTACAGACTGATACAACAAATATTGAGCCGCTATTATATTGGAGTGGTTTCAATGGCTTTGTCATAACAGATATTGATGGTTGTAAATATTACAAGATTTCAAACTTTAGAGATATAGACAATTACAAATATTTAACGTTTGACAAAACAAACATTTACTTGTACAATGAATACGAAAACGTAATTTACATTTTTAAAAAAATATATCCTCTTTTCGAATACAAAGAACATAAATTGGAATATGTACGTAGAATACGTTACCGAGAAAATGTTGCTTATCTCAATAAATTTATATCACTTGATAAAACTTTACAAACATATCCCCAGACGAAATGTTTGATACCTAACATGAGAAATTATCGTATTGAAGTATTGAATAAAACCATACACAGTATCAATGTAAGCCTTCCAGAACCGATTCTCAATGACGGATGCGAAAAGTACAACTTACCAACTACTATATATAACATCTCCAGAAGTTATTTAACATGTTTGGACAATGGCAGTAACAAGTTCGAGCAATTCAATGTGACGACATACGAACGGCATTACGAATTCAAGAATTTAATGCCGTTCACAGAATATACGCTGAAGCTAGCACTGAGCAATTTTTACGTCCGCAAGTTATCAATGGACTTGCAATTCGGCTCGGATGTGAAAGTGATAACTACCGGAAAGCTCGACATGCCAGAAGATGTGACGGTTCAAGTTTTAACGCCAACGTTAGCGATAGTTTATTGGATGCCATCCAAGAAATTAAACTGCGTGACAGTGACCTACGAGGTGCATTGGATGCAATTTTCAAATAAAACGCAAGAAATAATACAAAAATCTCCCATCACAAAACTTATCGATACGCTCGAACGTACAACAGATGGAAAGCTTTTCACGACAATCGGGTCGCTGCTGTCAAAACATAATTATCAGATATATGTGCGTGTATATCCATACAATTTTAGTCAATTCTTCACTGACAGTTTAAACAAAACAATCTACATGTCAGAACCGAATAATTAAGTTTAATCGGAGTCAGTACAAATAGTATGAATATCTCATGGATTTCTGGCGTCAATTTGACGATGCACACGAAATTCCGTCCCATACTGGAATACAAAAACGATGTGATGTGGGAGTGGCAAATGGCAAATATCAGTGAAAGAAATAATAATAAAATAATATATTATATAAAAATTTATTGCCGCAAACTCTATACAATTTCCGTTTGATCCTGAAATACCCCGAATACATGGACGACTTTGTATGGCCTGAAAAAGGATTTAGATTTGAAACGCATGGTGAGTAAACCATACAATGATAATATGTATATGATATTACATGTATATGGGACGTTCACGTCAAGTGGAACAGACGTCTGGGTAAAATTTGTGAAGTCGGAACAAGATGTTTGAGGGCTTAAAATTTTCGTTATTTTATGTTGTTTAAGAAAAAATACCTTTTAAAAAGTTTAAAGTACTCACTCCAATATGATGGCTAGAATACATGATAATCTTACTGAAAACATATAGTACTGAATAATTGAAAGAGAGTCAATTGCGCCGGAATATCTCCTTCCAATCTTAATTGTTATTATATGACACATGTTAAACATCAATCATTTCATTTTTTTTAACACATTTAAATAGTACTAAAATAACGATAAAAATAGAAAAAAGAAATTAAAAAGTTTTTTCAAATTCTGACTATAGATTCTTTATAAGCAACTTGAAAAACCCCTAGATACCGAGTTTCATTGAAATCGAATGCGTTTTGATCGATAATTATGTTTTCAGTAAGTTTATCATATATTCCAGCCGTATCATATATTGAAGTAGGTACTTTGAATTTTATAAAAGGCCACGTTTTTTCTTAAACAACTTGAAATAACGAAAATTTTAAGCCTTCAAAAGTCTTTTTCTGACTTCACAAATTTTTCCCAGACGCCTGTTCTACTTGACGTGGAACGTCCCATATATACTTTAAGACTTTCTTAAAAATAAATTTTAATTGAAATTATAAATAATAAAGTTCTAAGATAATATATTCTAGAATAAAACGAAGATATTTAAATTGTACTTTTGTATAACAAAGGTAATGTACCAAGTGCTCCTGGGAGACCCATTGTAACAAAACTTCCAAATTTGACGTATCAATTAAACTGGGAACATGCGCAAGCTCATGATTCACCAGTGATTTTGTATCGACTGGAGGGTTTAATTGTCGAAAATAATGACAAAGAAGTCAATCAAACCGACAAAATCAATCATTGGAATTTATACTATAATGGAACAAATAATTATTGCTGGATAACGACGAAAGAAATGAATCAGAAATATCTTTTTCGTGTGCAGGCTACAAATACTTATGGTTCTGGGAAATGGAGCGGCGAATCAAGAGTCGTTGATTTAACATCAAATCTGAAATCTAATAAGAACGAAATATTAACTGTGCAATACGTAACGTTAATATTAAGCATTGTCGCTACCATCGTAATCTATAATGTTTACTACTTTTACTGCTGTGTGTTTATTTTTACAGATTTAAAATAAATATAATTAAATACTATAATTAAAAATTATTTTAAACATGATATCCCAGTAAGCAAGAAATCATTGTTACAAGGTTATTATAATGATTTTTACTAACATAATAATGTTGTCAAGTATGTAATTTTGAACATTGAACATTATTATGAACAAACTTTGGTATCGATTTAGAGATTTCGGTAATGTTGAAATAACATTTCTTTAAATCGAAAAATAAAAGTATATTTTAATCTTCTATTTATTACAGTTTATTTTTGTCAAACAATTTGAGTATTTTTATTAAAAATTCATACAAAATACAAGAAAATAATCTAACCTAATTAATTCTTCAATTTAATTAAAAATTCGACAAATATCTTTCGAACTTACAAGATATATTATAACATTAATATTGATGTTAATAATACACACTAGAAGAAATCTTATTTTTATTCTTTCGTTCAGAGCATTTCATTTGCAGAAACTTACTGAAAGATTATATGATTCACATATTGCATATTGGCACCAGTATATCGAAATCAAAGAACGAATAAACGTGTTAATAACATATAAAGATATCAATTTGATCTTATGTTATTAAAATATTTCTTAAAATATGCTTCTGTAAGAAACAATATGTTATTAAAATATTTTTAAAATATTTTGAAAGCAAAATGTTATTAAATAATATTTTTAAAACATTTATAAAACATCAGTTAAAATATTTTTTAAATATTTATTAATACGTTTATTAAAATATTTTAAACATATTTTTAAAACATTATATCATAACGTTTAAAAATTTATATAAAATCAACATTTCAAAATGTTGATTAAATATTTCTTGCTTATGGGATATATAAAAGAAATATAAAGTTTTTAAGAAGTTAGTTCAATTATTAAAAATGGTTTAAATTTTGCAAAGCATAGTATTAAATGTATTATAACGCTTATTTATCTAACAGGTGAGCACTGGCAACGCAAAAAAAAAAAAAATAATTACGCATTCAATAATCAATATTGAATCAACAACCGCGAACGAAACATCTTTCGTAAACTATGAACTCCACTCTGTGCACGATCCTAAATTGCAAAGTGATATCGACGAATTTGCAAATATAATAATCGATAAAAAGCAAATCACCTTAGGAAATCTTCTAGGCAGCGGTGCATTTGGAGAGGTAAAATTAAATTCTTATTTCTTTGTATATCCTTGAAGATTTTCCTTAACATTTTTATCAGAAAATATTAAGACACATTTTTAATAAAAATATTGCGAAAATTAAAATTTATAAAAAGTTGTATAATAAATAAACATTTTTAGCATGCATTCTATGGATTTGTATTGAATATGAAATAAATTTCAGGTACATCAAGGAATTGTCAAAAATGGAGAAGTTTCGGAAATAATGCCTGTCGCCATTAAGATGCTACGAAAAATGCTACCTGGCAAAAGAAACAAGAATTCTTGGAAGAGGCTAAAATTATGAAAGAATTTGACCACAAACATGTGCTAAGATTGTTGGGCATCTGTATTACCGAGGATCAACCATGGCTGATATTGGAATTAATGGAAGTTGGTGACTTACTGAAATATTTGAGAGAGACTCGAACATTGCATCCGGAAGATCCGCACGCCCTGCGTCTACAAGATTTGCTTGCTATGTGCGAAGATGTTGCTCGAGGTTGTCGCTATTTAGAAGAACAGCACTATGTGCATAGAGATCTCGCTTGTCGAAATTGCTTAATATCCTCGAGAAATCGTGAAAACCGTGTTGTGAAAATCAGCGACTTCGGACTAGCTAAAGATGTTTACATCAAAGACTATTATCGTACGGTAATTAGAATGTAATATATATATATATATATATATATATATATTTAAAAAGATAATTTTTTTGCATTATAATAATATTATATATTGTTGAGCTGAATAGAATAAATAAACAAAAATGAACAAAATGTAATATGAGATATTACTGGTTTTGTGTATAAGAGTATATGGAAAAAAATGATGAATTTTATCTACATCTAACGCTTGCAAAAATAAACATTATTTTTTTCGATAAAAGTCTTTAATTGCACTAAAATTGTATTTTAGGGAGGAGAAGGCCTGCTTCCTTTTCGTTGGATGGCACCGGAATCTTTGATAGACCGAATATTTACTTCACAAAGCGATGTTTGGTCATTCGGGGTACTAATGTGGGAAATTACATCGTTGGGACAACATCCCTATGCTGCCTTATATAGTTTTAATGAAGTAAAGGAGTATGTGTGTGCAGGGAAAAAGTTATCCAAATCCTATCACTGTCCAGAGAAATTATACGATTTGATGCTAAATTGCTGGAATGCGGCAAATGATAGACCAAATTTCATGAGTTGTCTCGAAACTATTGTAACCTTAAGAAACGAAATAGAAGACACAATCCTGCATTCAGTGAGTATTATCAGACATGTACAGATAAATTGGTAATTATTTTCATAAATCATATTTATAATTTAAAAAGTTTAAAAATATACTTGTAACAACTACAAATCTATGTTCGAAATTGTAGCTTTAGAAGTATATTTTTATCAAATGTCATATTTGCGCGACTCTCTTTTAAATTTTTTTAATAAATTGCATTTTTCTCTGTTTTAGTCTCCGCCTTCTGAATATCGTCCGACAGCGGATTTTCTCTGAAGCACAGCCAATCGTATTTGTATTTTTGAACTTTTAACTGCGAATCATGCTTCAAACAATATCATATAGACATAATTAGTTTTTTGTATGAACAATTTTTGAGATCTTTGATCGTCGTTAATAACACTGTTCAGTAAAAAAAACACCGGTACGAGACTAGATGTTTCTTATAGTATTTTTGACGCTGAACACGAATCTGTCTTAAAAATTGCTCCATCACGGCACAATTTAAAAAAATTGCAATTGTAAGAAAGTGCTATTTTTTCGAATTTTGTCATATTATAACTACAATATATGTGACGTACTAAAGAAGTTTTCTTGCCATCATACAAAGTATGTTGACAATTGATTTTGTATTCATTGTTAGTGACCTAAAAGACCTTTAAGAATAAATAAACATATTTTAAAACTGTCTGTAGTTTGCGTCAACCTAAGAAACCGCTAACTTCTGCAATACCTTATATTCAACTGTGGATATCATAACCGACACCGAAAATTCTTACTGAGAGTTGAAAGTCCTAATTTACTTTATTTTTTCTCGTTCCAGTGTTCAAAAACCGTCATTTCTTTGTTGAACAGTGTTATTAAGAATCAATTTAATTTGACGTTGGGTGTACATAATTAAAGAAATATATTAATTTTTCAATATCAACAAATTTATAATTTGATGGTAAAAATCATTATAATCGATTTATGCGAAAAAATTGAAAAAATCACATTCAAAAATAAAATCTCGTAAATTACACGCGCACGCACATGTACATGCACACTTGACTTATTACAATAAATCTATTGGAGAACATAAAGACATTATTCGACTGCATTATCTCCTTCTTTCTCTCTTATACACATACATACAAACACCAAGCGCATTCCTACTTTTTTTTTTTTTTTCTTCTAATTCTTAGTAAAATAAATTTCTTGGTTCCAGCTCCCGCCTTCTAAAAAATTTGAAATGGAGAATCTTAACTGAAGCACAGTCGTATTTTGAACATTCAACCGCCATGATGTCTTAAATGATATTATATAAGTGCATAATCGCTTTTTTTGACCAAACGATTTTTGATCGAGATTAATATCGACCAATTTTATCGTCGTTTGTCGATCTATATTATTATCAATAATTTCCATCTATTTTTTTTTATCTAATCGAAAAAAGTTTTACATATAGTTTTACATTTTACATCTTTTTTGAAAGAGGCAAGTAATTTTTGCGGTAAAGGAAGGGTATAATAAATTTCCGGCAGTTTCGTCAACGTAAATGACCAATGTGTTGACGTGGTGTCTATAAAAATCATATTAACCGAATATAATCGAGCGTAACTGGATTTAATCGAAGCTTATAAAGTACCCCTTCCCCAAAAATATCAAACCACACTTCCCGCCTTTGACACAATTGTTAGCTATTGTGTTGTCTATATATTCAAATGCCAATTAAAATGATTGAGTGTGCATTAGTCAGTAATTGTTGTTCAGTTAAGATTCTCGTGAAGGAGAATCCAGTAAAAATATCTGCAAGAGAAAAAGTTATCATGTTCGGAACGTTAAAAATATTATGTATTTTATTAAAAGTGTTAATGCTAACGAGAACGGCCTTCGCGGTATCTTTAGAGAATGAAGATATTTATATAGTAGCAGGTCAGTCTTCAAAAAAAGATATTTTCATGTGCTTTGATTTAAACTTGGTGTAAATATGAAAATTTTTCGTAGATAAGAGATAAAAAAAATATATTTTATGTTATTGTAACTAATGAGAAATTATTTGTGTAATTTAAACTGTTCAATAAACGTAACACAAGAATTTTGATATTACAAAAATATACAAAAATTTGTTTAATTTTGCGTTAAAACAAACACATTAAAAATATAATATTATATAGCACAAATTAAAATTACATAATTAAAATGATATATATTTAATCTTAAACGTAACATAGTATAATTGTTTTATTTAAGAATAAATATTTTTAAGAATAATAATTTCGTGTATTCTTTACATTAATAAAAACATATAACATTTTTGTATAATTACGTGATTATTTTTATACATGATTTTTCTTTAACTTTTAAAACTATTATTATTTTTAAAATATTTTAAAAATTTTACTTTTTTAAACATGTTTTAATTTTAATATTTTTAATTTTTGTGTATAAAACTTACAATAAAATATTTTTATTTAACAAAACCAAGTACTAGAGTTTAAATAAGTTGCATAAATAATAAAATCTATTAAATCTCATGTAGAAGATTTGTTTATAATGCTCTTTCAGTATTATTAATTTCTCTGGATCAAATATTTCAAGGTCAATAATATAGCTATAGTTAAAATTCTAGCTAAATAGTTATCATTCACTGTGTCTATTAATTTTATTGATTGTATCAATGTATATAATAATGTATATGTATAATAAACGTGAACATATACATATATTAACATATACATACATGCATATTTGAAGCGAAATACAAGTTATGCAAATGTTTATGGCATTATGCTCTTACAATTTCACTTGCGTTGAAACATAATAATATAACAATATCATGAACCGACTTAATTGGCAAAAATATATCTATTTATTCATCTTTGGTACACACCGTTTTAGCCTTTGGTTTAGGCCTCTATATAATAATAAAATATAATAATAAAAATTAAATTTATATGAAAATGAAAAATAATTAATTAGGTAATAAAAATATAAAAGAAATTTAATAAGAAATTTTAAATACAGAAATGTCAAACATTTCTATGATCACAAAACAATGATAATGAAATTAACATTAATGTTGAAATATAAATCTTAAATTATCAATGAGATAACAAACGCTTTCGTGAAAATAGAAATCGAATTAAAGTAAAGTCTTACTTGAAGAAATTATTGTTATTAAATAAACTAAAATTCATAAAAACTGAATTATTAAGACAAAACTTTCAATTCAACAATCGAAAAGAAAATTACTTTATTTATGATTTAGTTACTATGAGACACATTTATAAATTTTTATTGGTTTTTATTTTTTATTCAACAGAATACATCATCTTTCAAGTTCTTCACACTTAATAATTACCTGTTACGAGTCCAGAAGATATATATGCAGAAATATTTGAACAACGTGACTGAAGACAGTGTAGTCGGTAAGAATAATTAATTTATAAACATGTTTATATTCTCAAAATTTCCTGATTAATTGCAAAAAATTGTATCTACAAAGTAAAAATAAAATCGAATTGCATAAAATTATTTACTGAATGAAAGATTTTCATTTTTATACAAATTCAAAAATGAAAAAATAAATTATAAAAAAAATATTTCTCAACAAGATGAATAATAAATATTATTAATAATTTTTTATTCGAATAAATTAATTTGAATGAATAAATAAATTAATAATTTTTATTCAAATAAATAAATTAATAATTTTAATTCGAAAAAGATAGAGAAAAAGAGCGGTGGATGCACTCTGTTCACAAAATATTTTAAAATAAAATCAATCTTATTCTTTTGCTAGTTATGTCGTTTCTAACTGGTTGCAAGTTTATATTTCTATATTTTAATCAATAGAAAATTTCGGAAAATACTAAACACTCTATAATCATTAAAATATTTCTATTCAATGTATGATATTTGATATTGCTTGTTTTTCGAATTTCAACTAACTGGCAATCAGTAAAATCAAGACGGATGGTACGTCAGTTTCAAGGAAGACGTAATGTTCGTTGAAACTGATTAGTTGTGCACAGAGCATTTTTTTTCGTATGATATGTCAAAAAATGAAATAGATCTCAATCCTTTCTTGTCAACTGGACCTCTACAACCTGGCTCTTACTAGTCCGTTAATATTCTAATATGCTTTTTGAGAGCCTTACTAAAATCTTTGGAATATATGTTTTCGTTAAAAGTCATTGAAAGATCGTTGACAATTACTGTCTCTTCTATTATAAAATATTCATTTTTGTCAGGACTAGTAATTTTATTTCTACGTCTGAAAACGCATATAGATTAGTTTTATTATTCTTATTTGATTATTTAAAATCAATACTGGTAAGACGTTAATTTTTAGTTTGTAATTAATATTTAATTCTCTTTTGATTTAGAAGTATGATTTTTAGTCATCGGATTTTATGTATTATATAGAATAAGTATGGTAGTTATTGTGCCCTTAGTTTATTTTCTCACATAATACTTTCACATAGTAAATATAGCATAATAAAATTTACCCGACTAAGCTTATTTTTTGTTCTAAGTTGCCAAAAATCCTAAGAAACAGCGAATACGAATTACACATCAATATACAGGGTGTCCGGCAACGTGATGTCCACACTGAAACTGTGTATTCTTGGTGTCATTCTAAGTTGAAAGTCTTAATACACATATGTCCTAAATGTCGACTGTTTTAAAGTTACAGTGAAAAGACAAAATTGCATATAACAAGATAAGTATTATTTATTGAAGATGATAATTTTATTTACTAAACGATAATATAATATAATAATTAACTACTTTATAAACTGTGCGGTAATGTAAATCATAAAGATGTTTTTTTTGCACTTGTATGGTAACATAAACAGTTTATAAAGTGATGTTTTAGGATAAGTAAAACTCACGTATTTATATTGTAGAGATCGAAATAAGTCTTTATTTGACTCAGAAACAGAACACAACCTTAGTTTAATCAGAGTGCGCCATCTTCTAACTCAATTTAAAATGAACGAAACAATATGACAGTGATACAAACTAAAATAACTGACACTATTATATTAGACGCGAATTTTTAAAACCTAAATTGCAAAAACATATTGATTGCAACATAAAGTAGTTAATTATTATATATTATTATCGTTCAATAAATATAATTATTATCTTAATAAATAATACTTATCTTGTTATGCAATTTCGTCTTTTTTGCTGTGTAACTTTGAAACAATCGACTTTAGAGCATTTAAGGGCATATGTGTATTAAGAATTTTCAATTTAGAATGACACCAAGAATAAACAATTTCAATGTGGACATCACGTTGCAGGACACCCTGTATAATTGATTAATGTATACCATCTATATATAAAAAATATACTGTTTTATTAAAACTCGTATAGATTACAAAGAAATAATATTTTAAATAATTTTGAAAACTTTCTTTTTATTTTTAATGAATCCTATAACCGCTAAAATTTTTGGATGTGTCCAATAACTGTACAAGTTTCTGTCATTTTTTGTCGACGTGGTAGTTACTGTGCCCTTTTATACTGCACGGTATATGGTATAATCGGCATATTTAAAGCACAGTATATTCTGAATTTCCACACAGTACTTGGAATAGTAAAAAATCAAAAAAAAAATACAGTAAATGAGACGTGTTACAGTACTCATTTACTGTAGTACATGAGTACAGTAAATGAGATCCATTTTTGTGA